TGAATAAGTCCAGTGACATCGGCGTATATCTGCCAGAAAATTAGCCGATATGATAGTCACTGGATATGCTAATATCGGCCGATATTATCTGCTGGCCGATTAATTGGCAGGCTCTACTTTTTGTGTCTAAGGCCCCCTTTGAACTTTGAAAGGCGGATCTTGTAGAAACAAATGCACTGATATGTAATGTAAAACCATCAGCTCCTCTAAGGAGGGTTTTAGCTTCTTCTTTGACATCGTGTTGTGTTTTTGTTTCACGTCACTGACACGACTCTCTTCAGCCTCAAAACCAGCAACGCAAATGTCATTGTGCTTCTGTTAGTGTGTTTAACGCGAGTAACAGCTTAACACACAAGATTATCCTCTTCCCTCAGTTGAACAAAGTATAATTTAACATTCATCACATTCATAGATACAACAAACAGAGCGACTATTTGACATTAAATTAAAAATGAATTCCTCCAGAGCAACACAATGTTTCCATTTCTACTTTGACTTGGACTAGACTCGACAGATCTAGTGTTGGGACTGTGTCTGTGTGCTTTGCAGTGGCTTGTACTGTGCATTTATGAATTTGTGTTTAAGACCTGATAACTAGAGTGTGGTAGCTTACAAATTGAGTAACTGGGCCTTGAATCAAAAAAAAAGAAAAGGGCTTTTGAAAAAGAAAGAAAGATGTGCGTTACAAGCTTGAAGTAGCCTCAGTGACTCAGAGCGGAGTTGCAACATATTGAGACCCCTTTACCGCACTCGAGCACAACATCTCATGAATGGTTTTCCCATCTGTGCTGCTGTTCCTCCTAGACGAGTCAGGAAAAGTCCACTTTTCTCCATGGAGTGTGCTGAAACAAGACACACGTGCTCCTCTGCTGGAGTCACGTTTTCATAGAAACTGTATAAATCAGTTTTAAAACACTGGATCATATGAACTGATCAAATATTTATGCAAAGTTGGTGCAAGGTTTGGTCCCCAGAAATCGTAGACCATACCATATACTGCTGTCCATGCTGCAAAACACACTTGAGGAAGGTCTGAACTGTAAACAGGAAATTATTAAGAGATAATAAATCGACGAAAAAGAAAGGGGTAAGGGGCGAGCTGCAATATGTGAACACAACCAGCCACACTTTTCCCCACCTTGACTTTATCTGGACTTTTTCATTTCAGCCCCCAAATAAAGATATCCTTATCAATTCAGGGGGACCCCCTCTCCTTGGACGAGGAAAAGTTCAGATTGTGAGGAACGTGTGTGAACACAGCTTTGTTGTGACCTCTATAGAAACCTTGTTGCCTCTGACCAGAATGTCCAGATGTGGTCAGATAGCTGACTAAAAAAAGGACTTGTAATTTGTACCTTTCACGCTCGTGGCATCTCTGCCCTTCCCTGGAGGCAAAATGGGTATTTAAGAAAAACCCTTCTTTCTTATTATTTGGCTTTAAATGTCAGTGGCTTTAAAAGTCTGCACACCCCATCCCCCTAGTTGCCAGACTGTGCCCCCCCCCCCCCCCTTGCCTGCACTGTCACGTAAGCACAAGAATGTGGGTTTGGTCTACGGCAGAGGAAAATGTTGATTTAATCTGAGCAAAAAGTCCCAAAGGATTCTGAGCTGGCTGCCTGACAATGTTGACTTGGTGAAAACACAGACACAAACATCATCTGTGTGTCAAGGTCGATTCTAACACATATTTTCAATAAATATCCCAGTAAGGTATGTGTGAGGCCGCCCTCAATGTAGATGATTCTGATAACATTGGCTGTATGTAAAGATGGATGAGGTGTTCCCCCCGCAGTAGTGATCAGCTGGGGGGTGCTCGGATATCGACATCCTGCCCCTTCTGGGAAGCAGAGCACTGATTTAGCTCACAGATAAAATGGCCAAGATTCCTCAGGTCAGAGCAGTCCAACACATTCTTGTTTTGGTGTGGAGCAGACGCTCACGGTTATGGACAGTTGAATGACTCTTTCGTTGGAGTTTGCTACATTCCTCCTCTGTCAGTCTCATGGCCACAGTGCATTTGTCAATAGCAGTGAATATATTTTACCACAGCACCACATTACTGTGGTACTGTGTTTTTCTAACACTAATATGTGTCTCTAGTCTGTATAAAAATCAAGAGAAAAGTCCATCCTCTCTGTCTTTTGTCTGCTCCACTTTTCAGAAAATGATTGCTCAAATAGGCTGTTTGGAGATTTTCCCTTCATGACATCACAAAGGGCAGTAACCCCTCCCCCAGGTGGGTGACACTCCCACAGCTAGGTGTTTGTTCTGCACCTCTGAGTCTGCCTTCTCACCGCAAACAATAGGACATGGAGTGAAATAGCCGGAGCAACCTAAGCCCTTCCAGAGAGGGGGCGTGGTCAGACACAGCTCATTTACATATTTAAAGGTACAGACACAGAAACAGCCTGTTCTGAGCAGGGCTGAAATAGAGGGGTTTATAGACATGATCAAATACAGGATCAGAGTGGATTTAGAACAAGAAACTTCACACACATGTTCTGGGTAGCTCTAAGACTTATTTAAACTGGTTGAAGAGGAGGAGGATATGTGACCTTAAATACTTAAATTCAAATGTATTTCTTATGTCTGATACTAAATTGTATGATTTACATACAACCTCGGCTCTTTGATGCATGTCATCCCCACTTTCTTCTCTCTTCAGCTGTCCTATCTAATAAAGTCAAAATAAAGTATCCATCGCTATTAACGCACTTACACACTGCTTTCACTACCACTTGGGAGCAATGTTGGGGTACAGTGCTGTGCCTAAGTAAGATTCAACATGTAGACTGGGAGCACAGGAAGTGAGATTGTTTAGATAAGTCCGACTCTTCCACTGATCCACAACCGCCCCTAAGTACTTACAGATGCTAAGATGCACCCAATCAGCTGTTTCCTTTCTGCACTACGTTTATTCAGCAGTAAACTCTGGTTCAAATATATACAGCTGAAGAAGCAAGCCATAGCCAAGCCGTAGTTTGTAACTAGTCTGTAATTCTTGCGTGTTCATAGTGCTGTGTATTTGCCATTATTGCCAGTCATTATTTATGTTTTTATTTCTGGTTGATTTGATAGGGACAGATACAAAGTACATGGACAAACTGAAAACAGCAATCCAATGTAAGTATCTTAGTGTTTATAGCAGATGCTGATTTGCAACACCCGTCCCTAGAAGTGCTTTTGTGTGGATAAAATATTAAAACAGTTAAATTAAAAAGGAAAAAGAAAGAGTAAACTTGGTACAGCAAGACACACATTTAGCTGTTATAGCTACAGCAAATTATACATGAGTACTAACTAGTCTGTTGCGGGCTGAATGGGGGGGGGGGGATAGCGTTGTTTCCTCACAGCGAGGAGAAATCACTGTTGGACTCTCTGTGTGGAGTTTGTATGTTCTCCCCGTGCATGTGTTGGTTCTCTCCAGGTACTCGGGCTTCCTCCCACAGTCCAAACACATGCTGGTTAGGTTAACTGGTGACTCTAAATTGCCCGTAGGTGTGAATGTGAGTGTGGCTGGTTGTCTGTCTCTACATGTCAGCCCTGTGATTGACTGGTGAACAGTCCAGGGTGTAACCCCGCCTCTCGCCCAATGACAGCTGGGATCGCCTCCAGCCCTCACGCTACACTGAATGGGAAAACCGGTAACAGATAATGGTTGGATGAACAAGTCTGTTGTTGAGTTCCAGGATTTTGCTGCTTTCACAGAAAAAAGCTGTTTGAGCAAAATATGTTTCGCAAAATGAAACTCCACAGCTGCCACTTGAAGCTGATCTGCTGCAGCCCTCTAGTCTCTGTACATTTTTGTAGAAAGGTTGAGGAGCAAATTTGTTTAAAATGAGGTGGTGATGATGTCTCATTGGTTTTTGTCAGAATTGTCAAGGCCTGATTGTGAAGGCTCTCTACAGATTTGATTACAGACTGGTTGACCCAGGACCAGACAGTTAAACCAGAGGACTGATGTGAGACTATCATGATATTTAAAATGAGAAAGGCACAGCCGAGTGTCTATTTCTTATCCTTAAACAGAAAAGATTGGCCTCCATCGTTTGACTAATCTTTTTCAACCATTGACATTCTTTGATTTGTTTGAAAGCCAGAAACAGTCACTGTGTTCAAATTTAAAGGGGACATATTATGAAAGATCCACTTTGACAGTGTTGAACATATATTTGGGTAACCTGAGTGTCTACTGACCCACAAAATGTGAAATAAACCCATCCAGTCCTTTGTTTGTGGTCTGCATAAGTCTTACAACACAGAGAAAAATGCTCCATTTCAAATTTGCTCTCCTCGTGACATCACAGTGGGATTCTGGTAAAAAAAATAAAATCCCCTCCCCTGATATCTCCACCCATGGACTCCACCCCCAGACTAGAACAAAACTTTTGAGCAGGTCCGCCATTTTTATTCTCTATACAGAGGAGTGACGTCTACTGGGAAAACTCAGGGGGGCTCATTACATTTAAAGAGACACACACACCAAAACGGAGCGTTCTGAGTGAGCTGGTTTATACAGGGTCACAAACCTCCTCTGGTGCTTGATTCATGTTATATTTTGACCAAAGCACAGCACAGATGTTTCATTTAGACCACAGGGTCCTGTTTGAAAAGGTGGAGAAGGAGGATAATATGTCATTGTTTAAGGTTTTTACTACAGTCAAGTTTGAGCAACCTGGTGCAGATGTACAAGCAGTGCACTGAGTCTGCATGATCGCCCGTTATGTAACACAGGAAGGCTGCGTGCATACCACATGTTTACATCCCGTCTGATTGCAGAGGTCAGAAAATGAAAACACAAAGCTCTGTATATGCCACGGTGTGAAAGTAGTGTTCTTTTTCTAAAATGAACATCGTACACGTGCTCAAACTGTTGTTTTCATAATAAAATAAAAGTAAGACAGAACTGGCTGCTCATGAAAGCAGCTTTTATGTAACACTGTCGTCATTAGAGCATGTTTCTTTTCATTTACATTTCTCTTTGTTTTTTTTCTCCACAGAACCTTGATATTCAAGTGGAAGATGTACGCATACGAGCCATCCTGTCGTCGTATCGTAAGCGTATCCCAGTAACGGAGGGCTACGTGGAGGTGAAGGACGGCGGCAAATGGAAGCAGATCTGTAACACTGAGTGGACACAGCTCAGCAGTAGAGTCATCTGTGGCATGTTTGGCTTCCCCGGGGAGAGGAAGTACAATGCTAGAGTCTATAAGTGAGTATTAACTACAAGTACTGTGTGTGCAATGAAATAAAGCGCCCCTAGTGGGGAATGATGTGGCCCGACACTTTTCAGATTTTTAAGTGTAAAACGTATTTGTCAGCTGATTTGAGTCATTACCTCAATGCACTTATAATAGTTTGCACTGGAGCCCGACCGATTAATCTGCTAGCCGATACTATTGGCGTATATTAGCATATGAAATTACTATCTCCAATATGATCCGATATTACAAGATTTATTCACCAGTCAAATAGCATTTCATTTGAGTTCCATTGTATTACACTAGCAGTTCTCTGTCACCAGCAGAGGGCGCATTATGGATAACAACAAGCATTATCACCCTCCAGATTGAAGCGGTGATGCACGTACATGCTTAGTTACTTCCCAGTTGAGTGACCATCTTGTCTACGTTGTATATCATTTCCACTAGTGCTTGATAACTGCATTTCAGTGATCAATGCAATAAATAAGTATATCCATATCTATCTATCGCTACAGATCTTAGAATGATATCTGCCGATATATCAGTTTGTTTTCTCTTTCTGGTATTGATACTGTATCGGCCCCAAAACTGCCATATCGGTCAGGCCTTAGTATGTACTGTATTTTAACCAACATTTTTTCCATCATGCTGCAAGAAAAGCAACTAATGCTATTATGAAATGTTAAAATGAATATGGGCATTTAAAATGTTGTATGGATTATATTGCCTGTCTAACTGGTTGTCAATACCGTTATTGCAATTATCCTGGTTCAAAGTTCACAAGTGACACATTCCTAGCAGTCACACCCTTTAAGAAATGCATAAACATTACACCTTAGTGGTCAAAGGTCAAATACAAATAAATAGTCATCTGTTTCAATGTATGAACTGATGAGAACTGAGAAGATACAAAAAGATCATACATCTTCCAAATTGTGGATCTCATGCTCGACCGAACAGGCCCTTATACATTAAACCTGACTCATATGTCTCCAATATCAGTGCATTCCTCAAAGCTTTCGTATGTGTGAGCCTCTACTGAGGATCTAAATCATACCAACATGCGGAAGCTTGCAGTCAGATGGCCACAGGTTAATCTTGGCATTCCTTCCAATTTCAAGCACTCTCGTTGACCTTGGATATATTCTGTAAGTGCATGTGCTGGAAGTTTCCTCTGCTTTAGGTAACCACAGCAAGAGTCAACGGTTTCATAACTTTCCCTCTACGTGTCACTCTCCTCCAGCTTCAGCCAAATGAAACGTGCGTTTAGTCAGGCTGTTGTCTAGGAGCCAAGTGCGCCTGTAGTTTTATAATCATTCGTTTGCTCCTGGGCTGATTCTTCTCTAGAGCTCCTTTTTTTTAGGATTTATTTTGGGGAATTTTATGCCTTTTTGTAGGACAGAGGAAAGAGTCAGAAATCAGAGAGAGTGGGGAAAAACATGCAGGAAGGGAGCCTCACGTCGGATTTGAACCCCGGCTGCTACAGTCTTTGTACATGTGGCGTGCTTTAACCACTAGGCCACCTGCGCCCCCTTCTCTTAAGCTTCTATTTTGACTTCATTCAGAGTCAATGTAAGACTGTTCTGAGGTTTCATTTCTCTCCAGCTCTCCTCTCAGGTTCAGGAAAGCCCCTTGAGCATGTCTCTGTAGTATCCATGCTTTCACCCATTAGTGTGGTTTCTCCTTATCTGTCTCCTCCGCCTCTTCTTTTCTTTTTCCACTAAAAGACCAAGAACTGACAACGGCAGCGCCATTTTCAACTTTTTATCAAACATTATTCGTTCGAATCCCTCCTGCGGCTCCTTTCCCGCATGTCGTTCCGTACTCTCTCTCCCTGGTTTCCAACTCTATCCACTGTCCTATCTCTCCATTAAAGGCACAAAAAGCCCAAAAATAAATCTTTTAAAAAAGAAAAAAACGTGTTCCCTCAACATGAAGCCCTTCCTATATAACCATAAGCACTTGCGTAAAATCACCGGCCCGCCCACTCTGGGACGCTGAGAGGCAAAATGATGGTAGTTCTGTCAGAAGTTCAAGGAGAATCAATTCAAGGAATGATGAAATTACTTATTTTAGTATAAAATTATTCAAATCAATAAGAACCGAATCAAATTTGGGCTGCACATCTGAATGGAGATCAGTCTGAACTCTGTCGGAACAGTAAGGAGAGGGATGGGGAGGAGGGGAGGCAGTGCACTGAGGGACAGCTTTGTTTTCAGACTGTTTTCTTTTTGCAAAAGTGCCTTAACTAAGCTTCGCTGTCATCACGTCTGTGTTGAATCATATTGATTTCACGATGGCGTAATAGTGGCGTCCCAGTCTGCAAATTCACATTGGGTTTCAGTGTAGCAGGCTCTCCATACAGTATATAGTCCAAAATGCACGCGTACACACAAGGCTGCTCTCCCCAGCTGGCTCGGCTAATACTGTCTCCCCTCTGTAATGCCTCTGAAAGTCGCATTTTTAAGAATCCATATTCAACCTCGTAAGATAACAAACAATCCAACAACTGAAATACTGACATATCGGAGCATTACTGGGGTTTATTTTAATCGATTAATTGAATTACAAACTGTAATAAATGCTTGACTCATTCACAAAAACAGAACTCACCATTCTACACGTCCTCAAAGGTCAAGCTCCAACACACCTTTTTCAAACTGTTAATGTCCAGTGATTATTACAGATTGTTTTTAATTTAAAATTAAAATAACTGTTGCTTTGTGATGCTGTCTGAAGTGGCCAAGCAGAACCTCAAGGGATTCTCAAGTTATTTCTCAGACATGAAGCAGCTCCTTCAGAGCCACACCAAACATAATAGAATTATTTTCTCTTTTCGCTTAACTATTAAAGACACGTATGTTTACGCTGGCATGCAAAATCCACCGCTTCTCTTTGTCTGAAGGCACACATTTGAATGTCGTTCATCAGCAGTGAGTAGCAGGTAAGGTTTATTAAAGAACTGAAAAACACAACAGTAGTCTACGCATGTAAGCACACATTAAAATAGATTAGGGAAGCTTGGTGAGCGATCCACTTTCACAGCCCCATGCTGGACATACTGTTTATTCAGTCATTGCAGCATTTCCAGTATCACAGCTGTGTTTATATTGAATTAAAGGAGGAGATAGCAGAGCAAGTCCTCCGGCCAGGACTTTAGCTCTTCGAAGCTTCCAGACTAGAAGCTTACCTCTCCCAAGGTTTAAAATGAAAACAAATATAGCCCATCCTTACTTTAATCCATTTCTTAAACACACATCTCAGACATGTGTATCCATTCTACAAAGGAAGCTTATTAAATTCATGAATCTGGCTCACTTACAAGTGGAGAGGCTGACATAAGCACCCCAACTGGGCTAAGAATGTTTTTAACCAAAGTTTATTTGAGTTCATGAGCTAATAAACCCTCCAGCTGTTAGCTAAGCTTTCACATTTGGTTTAATTACACAGTATGCTAACTTCATTGACATTATCTTTAAATCACACAATCCCCATTAAATCTCAATAGATGTATTAATTTCAAGATAATTTCATGTGCTTCTAGGGTATTTTATCTAGATATTTAATTTAGAGTCCGACCGATATTATCAGCTGGCCGATATAAACCAGTGACTATCGGTATTGGCAAATTGTATCGCGGATATGGGCCGATATTACTAGATTTATTGAACAGTCCAACAGCATGTAATTTCAGTTTTATTGTTTTACACTAGCAGATCTCGTTCACCAGCAGATTGTGCTACACTGATTATAACAACCCATCAATCCCTCTTTATCTGTGTTTATGTGTTATTTTGTCGATTACTACAAATCATAACAATATATGGAAAAGAGGGTTAGGGTTAGGGTTAGGGGTTACTTGGAAAAAGAGAGCTGCAACTAAGGCTCGAATATATCTTACAGAGTCCTCAACATCCTGTCTTTGGTGAGTTTGAGCTTCTGCCCTCAGGTAGGAGATACCGATTAGAGCCTGACAGATTTATGGGCAGGCTGATGACATCTAAAGGTATGAGCTAATTTTATCTCAGATATGCACCGATATAACTCGATCTATTCTCCAGTCAAATAGCATTTCATTTGAGTTTCATTGTATTACACTAGCGGTTCTCTTTCACCAGCAGAGGGCGCTATATGGATTACAACAAGTATTATCACTCTCCAGAGTGTCAAGTGATGATGCACGTACATGAGCAGTTACTTTCCAGTTGAGTGACCATCTTATCTACATTATGTATCTTTTCCAAAAGTGATTGATAACTGCATTTAAAGGATCAACACTATACATGTGTATATATATTTCTATCTCTACAGATCAAACATAGATCTAAGAAAGATATCAGCCAATAAATTGGTATCTAATATTTTTTCTCCCCAATATGGATATCGGTATCAGGTCCAAAAAATCTCATATCGGTCGGGCCCTAATTTAATTGCAAGTTCAGACTCTTGTTGAATTGCACTTGAGCAAGTTTATGAATTCAAGTTTTCTCCTTAAATCACACAATTGAGGGTTCGTACTCTAATAAATTTTTAACTACTTATTATAGTGGTCTAACAAGTTGTCATGCATCCATGTTTGCAAAGTAATGCTGTAATGCTGCAGAGCCTCGAAAGGCTCAGGTAACAAAAAACAAAAAACAAGCCTTTTGTAAATCCATTCCCAGGGTTTACAAAGGTTTTGAAAAATAAAAAACTTTTGCTCCATGTAGGTAGCTAGTTTGAGATGAATTACATCTCATACGCCAAAAGAGTTAATCAATATCCTTTTCTTTTTCTCTGTCCAGGATGTTTGCACGTCGGAAAAAGCCAACATACTGGGACTATGCTGTGAACTGCACTGGCAATGAAGCCCATGTGTCCAGCTGTAAGCTGGGTCAGACTACATCACCTAAGTCCAATGCGACCTGTCCTGGAGGGCTGCCTGTGGTGGTGAGCTGCGTGCCGGGGAGGGCCTTTGCCCCAACAACCATGACAGGATTCAGGAAGGCCTTCCGACAGGAGGTAAAGACCCAATGAACTGTTTGTTAGTTAAGTAGTGGGTCAAATATGACCTGTAGACAAAATACTGAAAGAAGCTATACTTGATAGTCACAGTTATGGATGTCTGTCATCAACATCAGGACTATTCTTCTATTCATCAGGGAAGATCAGACCTTACCTGTCAGAGCATCAGAGTCAGACAGGAGTCTAGTTAGAGACTTAAGGCCTTGTTGTGAAGGCTGGATCAGACGCACTTCATTGGCAGAGCGTAGTGGGCAGGAGGGTGTGTAGACCTGGATTATAGAGTTTAGGTAAGGAGTAGCTGCTTTGTAAGCGAGCAGCAGAGTTTTAAATTTGATGTTAGCAGTAACTTGGAGCCATTGGAGATAGATGAACAGCGGAGTGACGTGCTCTTTTGGGTAGGTTAAAGACTGGACTAGTCACACTGTTGCGATTTGGATCATCTGCAGGTGTTTGATCTTGCATGTAGAAAGACCTGCCTGCCTGAAGTTGCAATAGCCAATGTGTGATATCACAAGAGCCTGTACCAGGAGCTCTGAAGCATGCTCTGAAAGGTAACTTTCTGGCTTGGGGGACTGGCTTGGATGAAGGTTAAGATGAAGGTTGCGTTCATTCATCCATTTAGAGATATCAGCAAGACATGCTCAAATTCTTGCCGATGCTGTAACGTGGTCTGGTGGTAATGACAGGAAGAGCTGGGTATCGTCAGCATAGCAGCGGTATATGAAGCCATGAGAGCGGATTATTGAACCAAGTGAGCTTGTGTTTATAGAGAAGAGAAGTGGACCCAGCATTGACCCTTGAGGCACCCCTTTGGATAGATTGTGCGCTCCGGACACTTCTCCCTTCCAAGACACTCTAAAAGATCGCCCGGAGAGGTAGGATATGAACCAGCAGAGGGAAGATCATGAGATGCCGAATTCAGAGAGCGTGGAAAAGAGGATTCGATGGTTAACTGTGTCAAATGCAACGAACAGGTCTGGCAGCAATAATATTGAGGACTGACCGGCAGCTCTATAGCGTTTATTTTACTGAAAGTAGTGCAGTACCCGGCTTAATGCCTGACTGATTTGGGTCAAGCAAACGTTTCTGGATTTTAAATGCTTTTGATATATTGACTTTACTTTAAAAAAAACCTGTGCTTTGCCTCTGGTCACTTCCTGTCAGCACCTGTGTGTCCAATCTGACTTAAATTAAAGCTATTTGTTTGCACTTTCTGACGTTGTTTCTCCTCTCTAGATCCGTGCTTGTGTTGTACTCACTCTCTGATGTTTGTCGGTTTGGATAAAAGCGTTTTATAAATGAATTGTAGAACTGTATTCTGACCCTAGAAGTCAACCACTGATTGATTCTTTTGAAGAAAATGTGGCTATTGTACTCCATAAATTAGATTTGGACTTCTTCAGTAGTTATTTAGGCATGAAAAAGAATTGAAGGGGCGGCTGTGGCTCAGTTGGTAGAGTCGGTCGTCGTTCAACTTGAAGGTTGCTTCTTCAAAGTCAAATCAATCAAAGTAACCAATGACGTCAGGCTCTGATCATGCTGCCAGAAAGATTAACATATAGAGTCCAATCCAGTCCGCCACAGCTGGAGTCTTAGGTTTAAATGTTTGTACTATAACTGTATACTGACACTACAGCAAGTATGACCTGCAGCATTAAGTATGACCTCTTTATAAACACAGACTTGAACAGCACCCTAAACTCTGACTGACCTCCAGAAGTCCCTGGATGTGTCCATTTAGTCAGATGATAAAAAGACTGATCTCAGAAAAACAGCTGCTCATGGCTCAGCTGGCTCTTATGATTTCTTTTAGTTAGAGAAACATTGTCAACACTTGTCAACGTATGTTCTGCACTGAGTGTCCCTTTATGACATTTGCTGGAAATGTCTCTTCAAAGTGAGTCATTATCGTGTGGCTTCAAAGATGACATGATGTAGAAAAACTCTTGGCGCAGAGATAGGAAGGAAAACTTGGACGTCAAAAAGAAATGCAAATTGACTTGACATTGTTTAGCCTTTTCTGGACTTCTAACTACTCAAAGCTCTTTTACTCTTCAGGTCACACCCAAGTGCCTGCAGCCACTTTTCAATGTGTCCTTTGACGCTTAACCCCAAGCTGCTCCCGCTTCTACGTCAGTGGCATGTGAATGTGTATGATTGGAGCGGCTGATACTGGTGGTCACTTTACATAGCAGCCTCTACCATCAGTGTGTGAATGTGGAGGTGCGACCTGCAGTGTAAAAAGCGCTTTGAGTACTCAGAAGACTAGAAAATAACTGATGTGAATATCTCTCTGCGACTACATCAACAAAACAGAATGAGCTTTTTAAGTTTGTATGCCCTCTTTTCATGTTACAGAGCACAATGCTGGGCTGGAAATCACAAGTATTACATCACATCTTAAATCTTCCAACCCAGGTTCCCAAAGTGGGACTTTGGACCCAGTCTCTAGCACAGTTGAGCTGAAATGTTTGGGAACCCTTGTTACGACCCACTCAGCAAGTCTGTGTTCAAATTATTAGATCCTAAACCAGATTTAGGTCACTGAAAATGCACCTTTTGGAAAACTCCTTCCAGGGTGAAGGTTTTCAGAAACTCTTTTTAAGGTGTTTATGTGTGGCCCTATGGTGTAGACGGGGAAAACTGAGTTTTATTCTTTTAACGATGTGCTGTGCGCCGGTTTCTCCTTCGTTTGTCATGATTGTGCGACGCTGTCACTTTTGTTTGCATGAGATTAGTGCGATGGCAGACGTCACCAAACTAGCTGGTGCTAACATTGCTAACTGGACTTTTTACATGCATACACACAGTGGCGTAGTGCAGGGTATACGCAGGTATATGCAGATATACCCACTTCTAAATCTCCTCTGATTCACACCTTTAATTGATTGACCATATTCAGTGGGATGCTGCAATTCCCAGGATGTTGAAGGGATGACTCTCCCTACTCTGTTTCTCTTAATATGCAAGAGGAGTCTTATGTCACTGTTAGCAACAGAGGCCATTTATTCTCACTTGACGGGACACACCTAAAAATCATGAGGGGGAAAATTAAATGTATACCCACTTCTTCAGGCACCACTACACCACTGCTTACACATACACACACAGTTACTCTTCCATTATGTTGATGAGCAGAGACGCCTGAATGGACAACTTTCAAAATGAAATGGTCGTTGCAGAGGAATGGGGAGAAAATGTTGGAATGTTAAGGACATCATTTTTGACTTGGCGTGCTCATGACAGCTGTGCGTTTTGTGTTTTCATGTGGACAAAGATGTTTAAAAAAATACTCACCTACATGCGGACTAGGCCTAAGAGAAGCATGATATCTCATAGAATATGTGAGGGGTATTACGGAAAATGATGGCTTTTTTCCTTACAATGTTTCTTTCTTCTTACTGTCTGATTACGTGTCTGCACTCTGTGGAGGATGAATTCATCAGGCGTAAGGATGCAATGCAGAGCCCTCACATCAGGACGTCTGGGTTTGACTTTTTAAATATTAATAGCAGTAAGTCAGGATACCCTGTGCTACTCATGTGTTTATTCAACAGTTCCCAGTTTGTCTAATCAGGAAATGGGAGAACCACATTTACATCACGCTCCACAAACGTGAAGCTACCACATCTGCTGCCTCAGCTTTTAATCACAGGAGGAGGAAAAGTTGAGCCTCCAAACTGACCTAAATATGTGGTCTACAAGTGGAACATTTGACACTCATGTCATTGTCTGCTCTTTTCTCTCTTCAGCAACCACTGGTTCGTCTGCGTGGAGGGACCATCGTAGGTGAGGGCCGAGTTGAGGTTTTGAAAAACGGAGAGTGGGGCACCATATGTGACGACAACTGGAGCCTACTGTCTGCCACTGTGGTGTGCCGGGAACTGGGCTTCGGTACGGCAATAGAAGCTCTGTCCGGCGGTCGCCTTGGACAAGGTAAACAGCTTTCACATAAAGTATACTGAGTCTCTTTCAAGCTTCTAATTGTGCAGTATCAGAAGAGGGATGAAGCATAGAGAAAAAGATGGTATGGACTTATAGAAATAGCTAAACAATCTGGACTATAGAGGCAGTAGACCTGAAGTTGCATCATGGGAATTAATTTTAGAGTGACTAATTTGGGGTGGCAGTACCTCAGTCTGTAGGGACTTGGGTTTGGAACCGGAGGGTCGCCCGCTCAAGTCCTGTTGCGGACAAAATGTTGAAGTTGGTCTGGTAGCTGGAGAGGTGCGAGGTCACTTCTTCAGTACTGCAGAGGTGCTATTGAGCAAGGCGCTGAACCCCCAACCGCTCTGGTGCACTCCCTGTGCTGCAGCCCTACTCTGACATCTCTCCACTAATGCACGTCCACAGCTCCTGTTTGTACATGTGTGTATTTTGTTTGTGTGCCTCGAGTTAACAGAGTGTACAACCAGAATTTCCCCTCAGGAATTAATAAAGTATGTAAAAAAAAATCAGCACATGTGGAACAAAAACACATCCCCCTAACAGTTTTTATTCAGTTGTGATTTTTCAGTAAAGGTTTTTATCACTCCTTTGCACCACTGAGCTAGGGCTCGGCAATTAATCGTGTTTCAATTTCAAGTACAATTTTGTCTTCCCACGATCATAAAAAAAACAAGATGATCCAGATTAAATGATTACTGTGCCGCATTCCATGTTGCAATTGTTTTGTTTCCAAAGGTTTTGTAAGCCAATCGAGGGGGGAGTGACGTTTATATACTGTGACTGCTGCACGGTGCATACAGCGTATACATGCGACCGCTACGATCTCTGTGCACGTAATTAAATGGCTGCATTAAGTTTTCTGTTCTCCACTCTTGTTCATATTGTGATTCTGCTAAACTAAACATAGCATTGATATAAAGGCAAATATTCTCATTATAGCGTCGTATAAGTGGACTCTGTTTCTTCGTCCGCTACTTCTGCGTCTTTCTTTTATGTCACCCCTTACCTCAGTAGACTCCCCCGCGCCCCCTCCTGTCTGACAGGGAAAGTCTCCCACTATGAGGAGCATATGTGAACAGTCAGGTCAGGAGACCCTCCGGAGCAGTCCTCCTGAAACTATCTGGATAGTTTCAGGAGTGCAGATGTGAAAACAGCTTTGTAATGGGTTTCTCAATGTTTTATGTTGCCAAGGAGAGCTGCCTCCTGCTGGTATTGATGGGAAGAACATTTATTCTTTAAAATGTGTCTGCTACACTAGGATTGAATTTTTACTCTTAAATGGAGTCAAATTCCAAAAGAAAAGCTAGTTTTGGTTTATTTCTCTACATTTGGAGACAATAGTCCTGTTCAGACTGTTACAAGCCGCAATATTTACACCCCTGTGAAGTTTGGCCTTTAATCTGAATGAGGAGGCGTAGTGGGGGGACAAATCGATCCCCCCTCTGTACCGTCTTTAAAGAGGCGAGATGATTTCAGCGGAGCCAGCTGGAGAGTGCAGTGCTGTGTGTGTGCATGTCTGACTGTGTATATGTGGATTCCTGCTGTGCCGTGCTTCCCCCACGATGTGTATTCACAGACTGGGACACCAAAATTACGCGATAGCTGAATTAATAATAATGTACAAAGACGTGATGACAGCTGAGCTTAGTTACGGCGCAGTCTGAAAAGAGCTTCTGTGTTAGATTAAGGCCTTGTCCAACGACAGATGAGAGCCCTGACAGAGGCAAAGCTTATGCTTCCTGAGCGTTGGGGATCGGCCCAGAGGACAACCAGCTCTCCTTTTATTGACTTTTTTTAAGGGGACACCTGACTCTGAGCACTTTCACTTTATTGCCTCCTCAGACTCAGGTGTCTCAGACTCAGGCACTTTAACCAGCTGCATGGAGAGGTTTACAGCACGACCTCCCACCCAACTAACATGTGCCACTCACACTTCTAAATTACACACTCAGCGTACTGTCGGTGTTATGACGTGTTTCACATTCCTTGCTCGCCTGCTTTTAGGTTTCACTATGGAAAATGTACTTTTCATCTCAAGGAATGACCAATAAATAAATTGGCAAAAACAATCCTATACAGGATGGTGAACCCGGGGAAAGAGAGGCGGGCTGACTGCACATTCCAGGAACATTAGACGTGGAAAATGTTATAAAAAAAAAGCGGGGGGAATGGTCTTTTTCCAAAATGATTTTCCGTCATGATTTCTCATGAGTGGCTTTTATGTCACCCCTCATTGAAAGAACAAAAACCTAAATGTTGATAGCACACTACTCTTAATCATCAAACAGTTTCCAGCAGATCTGAATGCACTACAACTTTTAAGAAGTTTTTAGAAGTCATCCGGAGCCTCGTCCCTCTTATGCTAAGTTAAGCTACTTTGATTCCAGCTTCATAAGACGTACAGGCATGCTATGAGTCTCCTCGTCTAACTCTCAGCTATAAGTCATACTTCCTGAAATCAGGACAACATCACAGACGTCTTGACAGTTTCTGTGTGAAGCAGATGATGACATTTCCTTCTGTCTGTCTTTGTCAGGTATGGGCCCCGTGCACATGAATGAAGTGGAGTGCTCTGGATTTGAAAAGTCCATCACAGAGTGTCTCTTCAATAAGGAGGCTCTTGGCTGCAGTCACGAGGAGGATGCAGCTGTCAGGTGTAATGTTCCTGCCATGGGCTTCCAGGAGTCGGTGAGTCTTAGCTTTGTTTCAAACTGCTGTTCCAGCGCCTCTATCCAAGGGTTTTCTATCCCACTGACAAGATCAGTGTATTTTCAGAGACTGTCCGGTTCAAATCCCCCAAAAAACAGAGGTGATCCGTGAAGATTTAAGTAAAAGTTTTAATGAAACAGTATCATATTGCTATACGGACTATGCACATCTTGTTTTGACTAATCAGGGTCTGTATCTGCGATCAGCTGACATGTATGGGCCATTGAGAAGCCAGAGCAGACTGAGATCGACGTTACAGCCGGCTCTCAGCGCAGAAATATGAAAGACTGATTCAGCCAATTCTAGTATCAGCAGATCTGTGCTCATTTTACAAATCAGCTCTAAATAATACAAATAATGTATAGATTGTCCTTTAAATTGAATAATACTTCTACACACTCCCTACTTTTCTATCTATTGTTTTTCTCAGCATACCTGTTTGAACGTACCCTGTTTGTGTACCATGTCTTCTAACTTTAGGGCTTTTCAAAGATCATACAGTTCTTCATTGTCTTTATGTAATGGCCTCTTAGATACCTTGTTATGTAAGCTACATGTTTTTTTCAGTTTGAGACTCTTAATGAATAAATGTCAAACCAAAGACACATACATCATGATGTGAGAGGAAGGTGTGAAATCAGTCTTTAAACTGGTGCTTTTAAATGACTTCACGCCCACAGCTGCGTCTAAGTGGAGGCCGAAACCCCTTTGAGGGCCGCGTGGAGGTGCTGGTGCAGAAGAACGGCTCTCTGGTGTGGGGGACGGTGTGCAGTGAAGGCTGGGGGACCATGGAGGCCATGGTGGTCTGCAGGCAGCTGGGCCTGGGCTTTGCCAGCAATGCTTACCAGGTAACGGGGCATAGATGGTTTGGTGTACAAATTAGCCTGTTTGGGTTTGTGGTGAACATCACAGAGTCAAAATATAAAGTTAATAGAAAGAAAATGGTACGGACCAATGATGTGATAAAGTTCCCATAGAACTATAAAACTTAGTCCATACAAATCTGAACACAGGTGTTCCCACAAGATAAGTTAATAACCATCAAAACTTTTGATTTTGTTTTTGTCTTTACATTGAGATTGCCTAAAATAGTCAATTACGTTAAATTGAGAGCAATTAACAGCTTCAGCTCATTTTAAACTGGACACTTTGAATCTAATCTGCTGTAAAGATCTGCTCTTAGACTCTTTGCGTCACACTTAATCTTATTTCCAAGACAGTAAAGCAGGTTAGATTATTATATTAACTGCTCTGTGCTGTTTGCTTTGTTTTGCGACTGATTGTGGAGAGAAGCGCTGCCCCTCTCATGCTGACACACACACCTGCATTTGTTCCGCATATACATGATGAGCTAGGAGGATAGAGGACACGTGTTCCAGTGTATTATAAAAATGTTCTCTGCATTTTTTTTCAAACTAAGCTTCTCTCTGGACAGCCAGCAAGGCCAACTCCTACTGTACATAATGAAACACTCACATCCTGCCTCACAGCCCAGACCATCTCCTCACATGTGGAGGAAGCACTGTGTTGGTATTATCATTCATCTGGCAATTTAATTTCACATTAGGACAGAACATAGCCAATTCAATATCCTTAGTCTTGTCATCCCTTTGATTAAAGATCACTCACTTCAAGAACACATTATGATAGAAAGGGGGCACCCTCTGGTGGTACAAGTGGAGAATTACCTTTATTCACAGCAGTGTTGGTACAGCTGCACGGTTTCATGACAGTCAAATATTGAAGGGGGAATCGACTTAGAAATGATTTCACCCTCTAATAGCTCTGTTGAATGGTTCTGTCTCAAGGTCCAATCTACAAACTAATGATGTTCAATGAATATTGAAGTAAACAGCGACTTGTGTCCTCTGCACATTGTTTTGTTAAAATCAGGACAAACAGAAGTTTAAAAACATGTTTAGAAAGTGTTTTTACTGGTTCATTTAAATGTGTTTAATTTGTGTTTAAAGTTTATTCTGCCTTATTTGAACTTACCAGGTGATCTCTGTAGTCAGTCTTAAGTGAAAGTTTTGTGTTGCCCACTGGAGGGCAGCACTGAGCACATGTCAGCTAATCAGGTGTTTGTCAGTGGTGTGTGAGAGCAGGAGTGAGAGGAGAGTGGCAGAGACTCAATTCAGTGTAGGGAAGACATCCTGCTAAACTAATATGATGGATTGTTTCAGTATTGTGTTTCAAAATAATATCCATGGAAAGGAGTTGAGTTGTACAGCATCCTCTGTGATCTTCTAGGCCAGTGGTTCTCAAACTTTTTAGACTGCGTACCACCGCCGAAAATTACTTCTCCAAGTACCACCATTATGGTAGATGTTAAAATACTCTGTAGGCCTATTTCTACACACATTTTACGCAGGAAGTTATTTATTATTAGAGAGAGAGAGAGAGGGAGGTGGAGCGACTGTCCGTACATGCATCAAAAACTAAAGCTTCTCCTGGCTCCGTACAGCTGCTTGCTGCCGATTGTGTGCTGAACTCCAATAAATAACAGAATATCTGTTAATGTAGGCCTACAGCTGCTTGCTGTTGTTTCAGGACTGAACTATAACGGAATATCAAGTGGAACTTTTCAAAACTCGAGGTGTACTCCTGTTGTTGTTTATGTCTGTGTGTGAGCATAAATTGAGCAGATTAAAGTTGTTTGTTGCAAAAACTAGATTAATTTAGAGGGTAAAACAAATTTGGTATAAATACAACTCAATAGATACAAGACAGATAAGATAAGAGTATGACAAAATTAAAAAAAAATGTTGTTTTATGCTGAACGTTTTTTTTTATATATATTGTGGAGATTTCTTTACGTACCACCACAGGGAGCCCACGTACCACCGGTGGTACGCGTACCATAGTTTGAGAACCACTGGTCTAGGCCTTTTAAAGACTTGCAGAGGTCGAGAGAGCCGGCTCTTCTTTTGTGGATCAGGCCCTCAGTGTCACTCAGACGTGATTTATAGTATTTAGGACTTTATGCAATTGGTTATTTTAAATCTGCCTCCATTGCTCACAGATGTACACACATACATAACATGAAGTCATTTCCAAACTGTAGAGTAAAATCCTCCTCAGGTCTGCAAACATACATCTGCATGTGTGAGATATTTAAAGCTGCATCATATTCAAGCATGGAAAGGCTCTTCAGTTTATTATTCATGTGGAATCGACTGGATTCAGAGCAGAGGTTGATGGCGTATGGACTGTGAATGGTGCTCATATCTTTGAAACAGGAGACTTGGTACTGGCCAGGAGAGGTGAGTGCAGATGCTGTGGCGATGAGTGGAGTCCGTTGCTCTGGCACCGAGATGTCTCTGTCTCATTGTCTGCACCACGGAGTCCACCTCAACTGCCCAAAAGGAGGTGGACGCAACGCTGCTGGCGTCTCCTGCTCTGAGAGTAAGACACACATGTTCATTACTGACAAGATAATGGTACCCCACTAACATGAGCCTCTCTAGACCCTTAAAGATTCATGGCATTGTCATCCATGATAAACTGATATTTGCACTTTAAGTATTAAAGAGTCTTTAATGTTTTTGCTTCCCATTGAGTTTTATTCCAACAAATCTCAGTGTTTTCCAACATCTTGAAAAGCGCTGCGTTGGTGGAAAGTTTTCTAAAGCTCTAACATCACTCTTGAATCATAGGAGCGCTCAGAGCAGAAACCCCTCATTAATGTGACGCGTGTTTTTAGGTATGTTTGGAAAATGAGAGGGAGCCATTTTTTTCCACGTATCTAAATATGTTTTTATCTCTTGTCTGCTTTCCCTGTGCTCGTCTCTGATCGGCCTCGTCCACAGCGGCTCCTGACCTGGTGCTGAACCCACAGGTGGTGGAGCAGACCACCTACATGGAGGACAGGCCCATGTTCATGCTGCAGTGTGCGTACGAGGAGAACTGTCTGTCGTCGACCTCCAGCGAGGTGCCGGCCAACACCTACCGGCGCCTGCTGCGCTTCTCCTCTCAGATCCACAACAATGGGCAGTCTGATTTCAGGCCCAAAGCCGGCAGACATGACTGGGTGTGGCACGACTGTCACAGGTAAGTGTTACAGGGGGTTCCAGGGTTCTGGATTGGATACCTCAATGTAACTATTTAATTCACAGGTATGTAAAGGAATTCATTCTAACTGGCCAATTATGCAGAGCTCTTACTCAACTATTGTTAGGATGAGCAGCCTGTTGGGGATGCCCCTCTAACCACTCTGGATGACTAATTGGACTTCAAAAAGAGAGAAGTCCTGGAGCCTTCACGGCGGTCTGTTTACTGTGTGGGAAAAAAAGCAAAAGTGACTTAAATGGTGGTGAAAGCGGTGAAGAGATCTAAAAAGGGTTTGCTATGACAGAGCCAAAACTAAAGATGGCACATGAAGTAAATAATCTGTAGTGTTTTGTTAAGAATGATGAATAGAAAATAAATTAGTCGACAGACTCTGACAGTGACGAGGCAGAAAATCATGTTTAAAGGAGCAATAAGTAACTCTGACACCTGGTGTTTAAAATGGGTACTGCAGTCCAAATTTAAAACATTGTAGAGAGCTGTCTCCCCCTCCTCTCTAGAGTCAATGCTCACACAGGTCACCATGTGGTGGACACTGAAGCTTCAGTGTTTATCCAGCTCTGCATGGGTCTGTAAACTTTGTGTTCTAACCTCTCTCCATTTTTCAAAAGCATCTCCAATATTGATCCTAGTTTGAGCACGTTTCTGCTCGTGGAGCTTATTAGAAACATGCAGAGGCTTTTTAGGTCGGGTACAATCACTTCTATCTGGAGAGAGAGACAGACGACCAGCCACACTCACATTCACACCTACGGAACATTTAGAGTCACCAGTTAACCAAACGAGCATGTTGTTGTTGGACTGTGGGAGGCAGCCGGAGTGAACCCATGCATGCACACATAAAGGCTCCTGTCAGACGGGGACTCAAACCCAGGATCTTGTCGCTGTGAGGCAACAGCGCTAACTACTGCATCACCGTGCAGCCTGTTCCAGAAGTATGACTCAGTATGACAAAAGTCTTTTGTAAACATTTAGTGGAGAACTCTTTCAATGACTGAGTGTGAACTGTTGAGTGCAGCACGTTGTGTTTCAATCAGTTGGACACGTTATATGAGGATACATTATTAGTAAGAGTTTATATTTTAAATTAGACTTAATTTAAGGAAAGAGAGATGACTCAGACTACAGCGTGTCTTCTTTCTCAAACAGTTTCTCTTTCAACGAGCCCTGCCGCCCTGTAATTGACTTTGTTAGTGTAAGCTTTCAGATCACAGTCAAAGTGCTGAGAAAGTCCCACATTTTTGTGGTTTCATGGTGGAACACTTTCTGCGGCTTCAGACAGCTACCGGCTTTCAACAAGTCAAACCCTTTGTCATCTCGGATATGAACGACTTCACACAGGAAAGTTTAAAGCTGTTTAAAAGTAATGTTGTGGATCACAGGGGCCAATGTGTGATTATCTTTTCCTGACGCTCTGTTCGGCAGAGACAGCAATAATGACTTTCTTAAACTTTTGTGTTTAATTTGTAGCCCGGCTTTGGCTTTAAAACCACAACTGTGTGTTTGTGTGTACAGGCATTACCACAGCATGGAGGTGTTCACTATCTACGACCTGTTCAGCCTGAATGGAACCAAAGTGGCAGAAGGACACAAAGCCAGCTTTTGCTTGGAGGACTCTGAGTGTGATGAAGGTGAGGAGGACTACAACAGGATTCTTTCTTCAACCTCTGTGTTTGTGGAAGATGTCAGTCAGACAACAACGAGACTCTAAAGCCGATAAACCCACAGAGGAGTATCATCTGACAATGCAGTTAGCTTCAGATCTGACCAATTCGGACATTATTCAGCCGATGGTTTCGACATTCCCATTCACATAACGTCATTTCAAAGTGTTCAATGAACTCATCAAGCAATTCAAAATACAGATAAAATTGTTTCAATGAATGTGTGATCGTTGCGATACATTTAATCATAGACAAAAACTCAAAAGTTGTTGTTTTGTGTCTTCAGAGAGTGTAAAAAAGCCACCATGACAACTTTCAAGTTTGAATGTTGTGTTTCCAGTTTGTACAGCTTCCCCCAATTAGGGGAAATTGTAAATTCATGCAGCTTAAAGCTGGCCACACAGAGACGATTTAATGCCTGATTTTGGTTCAGGTTTGCCCCCTGTAACGATCGTGTGTGAGCCTGATTCGAGGCTTGTCGTATTAGATTTTTTTGTCCAATGAATCCACAAGTTTGTGGTGTCAATAGGATTATTTTGCTGCTCACCATCAAGCTGGAATCTTAAATATCACTATTACTAGTTGGACTGCCTCCGAAGCAGCCAATGAGAGTGAGCAGACATGGAAGCGTCACCAAACTGCATAAAGCCGAATTCACGTTTGATCACGCGAGTTTCTGTGAGATCTCGTGTCTCTGAAATCGTTGCTACAAGCTGCTGGTGTGTGGTCTCTTGGTCTGTCCTCTAGTGTGTGCGTTCAGAGGATTATAGAATTTAAAATTGGCTGAAACTCTCCTCATGTCTCCTCTCTCCTCCCACGTTTTAAAAATCAGTTAACATTTGATAATGGTCCAGTGGTTTAGTGTTTTATGATTTCCCATCTTGTCATTCTTAATTGCAGGTATTGAAAAGCGGTATGAATGCGCTAACTTTGGAGACCAGGGTATCACTGTGGGCTGCTGGGATACCTACAGGCATGACATCGACTGCCAGTGGATCGACATAACGGATATCAAACCTGGAGATTACATTTTTCAGGTATCGTGTCCCCTCATGAGTCTTTGAGTTTCCTATTAAAACAGAAAGTAGCCGTCAGTAATGGCTTTTTATGCTCCTGAATATTTCCTTTAACCCCTCTCACAGATAATAATTAACCCAAACTACGACGTACCCGAGTCAGACTACACCAACAACATCCTGAAATGCAGATGTCGATATGATGGCCATCGTGTATGGATGTACAGCTGCCACAATGGTAAGAACTAGATCTGACAGTGATATAACAGTGCTGGAGACTTGGGACTCCCATTGTCCCTGGAGATGGTTAAAACATTTAACGTTGCACAAAGCCAAGCACACTATAAGGGTTATCCAACAACTGGCATTAGAACACCGAATAATAGCCCAAGCAACATCATATTATTTTTGTTTTTATTGTAAGAAACTTCCTTCTTCCTTTTTTTTAAAATATACAATTTTAAACCATCTTCCATTTTTGTATGTTTTTGGCAGGAATCTCACGACCCCCCTAACAGTGTCTTGCGACCCCCCCCCCCCCCCCCGGGGTCCCGCCCCTACCTTGGGAACCACTGTGTTAATGTTCGTTAATGTTGAGTTGAATTCGATCACCTGCTTTTTTTTTTTTTTAAACGTTATACTTTATAGGGCATCAAATGAGGAAGGATGTGGAAATCAATTACTGTATTATCAATCAATCAATCAATATTTATTAAGCTCTAATTCATAACAGATGTTATCTCAAGACATTTTACAGAAGACATTCGCATACATTGTGGTAACATGGTTTTCTAACACCAATAAAAGATTCAGATTATAAAAAATCTGAGGGGGCTCCAGTCCAAAAATAGTGTAGTATTGCAGTAAAAGACATAGTGTAAAAAAGTATAGACCTTCTTTCCTTGAGTTTTTAATATTTTTCAGTACTGAAGGTAAGATCAATGAGGCTCTTAATAGAATAAACTTCTGAATTGTTATCTCTCTATTAGAGCCCGACCGATTTATTGAGCCAGCCAATAATATCGGCCGATATTAGTGTATCAAAAAACTATCGGTATCGGATCATTTATTTCAGATATGTTCCGATATCATTAGATTTATTAACCAGTCAAAAAGCATTTCATTAGAGTATCATTGTATTATACTAGCAGTTCTCTTTCACCAGCAGAGGGCGCTATATGGATTATAAAACGCATCATAACTCTCCAGAGTGTTGAGTGGGGATGCATGTAAATGCACAGTTACTTTCCAGATGAGTGACCATCTTGTCTTCATTATTTATCTTTGCCACAAACGTGTGATAACTGCATTTGAGGGATGAACACAATAATTGTGTTTGTCTTTATCTATCTCTACAGATCTGAGAAAGATATCGGCCGATATATCGGTATCAGATTTTTTTTCTCTCCCCAATATCTATATCGGTATCGGCCCCAAAAAATTCCATATCAGTCTGGCACTACTCTCTTATACTAACACTGATAACTGGTCTGATACCTTTGCTGGGCAGAAATCTTGCATCAGTGGTTTGAAACTGTTGGTGTCATATGTCAAACAATAATGGCTGATCATGGTCACTTTGTCTGTCTCTGCTAGGTGGTTCATTAAGCACTGAAAGTGAACAGACATTCCCCGGCCTCCTCAACAACCAGGTGGCTCACAGGTAAGAGCGAGGCAACTGTAGAGGCATCGGGTGACCATTACCCAACCACCACTTCTCCAAGCGGGGGCGCCATCTGAAGCCCACCAACGTCTCATCCCTGCCCTGATCAAACCAAAGTTTCATTTTCTTCTTCTTCTTCTTCTTCTTCATCCATCCAGCAGCTTTCTTTGACCCCGTCACCCACTTTTCCCAACAGGAGAGAGAATATTTGTACTGCACTTTTCTTTCCAAACAGAGGCAGCTACAGCCATAAAAAAAAACCTTCACAGCTCCCTCTCTGAGGCCAAAAGGGCCGCGATGTTCTCCCTTGTACTCTGTTACTTGTCTCTGAATGACCGTGACATTAATCTGTTGAAAAGTGGAATGTTTTTTTTTTTTGCACAATGAGTTGAGATTGGTACATCCCTTTGACGTAAACTTGCAACATTTTTACCTACAGTGATGATGGAGAGCTTTTTTTATTTTTATTGTTTGAAATCATTTTCAGCTTCTAGACTTTATATGTTAACATATTTTTTGTTTGTGTAACACTAATTCTACCTTGGCCAATGTCTACCAACATGGACAACCTTGATGCAGCCTCAAATGCCTTCGTTAAATATTTCCAAAGCGAAACGTTTGGTTGATTTGTGGATTCACTAATGACTTTCTGTTGTGACTGTGCTGACCACTGAGGGGACGGAGACCTGGAGAGGCCAAAGGAAAGTTACCATAACTTATTTGTTGTGATTCACCAATTCACCAATGACCTATGTTGGAGTATTAACTGTATGAACAGTAGTAAACAGTAATGTGACAGGGGTTTGTTACATACATAAATGTCTTGTGTAAAGATGTCATTGGATTTTCCAGCAAGGAACCTAGCTAGCTAGGCTAATGAGTTACTGAGTTAGCTTACTGACAAATAAGGCCACGTGTCCACCTGGCGTTTTTATCTGGGCAGAGAAGCACTGGCTGTGCACTCAGTAGTGCTTGGACGAAGTGCTCCAGAATATAAGCGCTGCACGTGCGTGTTGTCTCTATGACAACCATCAAAACGGCCGCTGTATGACTGACAATGCTCTTTTGCTCTTTTCTCCAGTTTTCTCCTCTTTCATAATACTTTTTCACTGAAGGAATCTGTGTTAAATTGTGAACAAAATACCAGAAGGGAAGTAATCAGACCGATAGTGGAGAAAAAAAAAGATTTCCTGGAGCTGTGACTGACAGCAGCTTGGGTGACTAGCATGTTTGTCGTTGGCTCACCAGGCAGCTACGATAGTCCACACACTATCCCTTAGAGCAGTGGTTCCCACCTTTATTTCCATTTGAGCCCCCTAATAAAAAATTAGTAATGTTTTTACATGATTTTATTTATTATGATCAAAATTAATTTTGACATGCTCAGAGCAGACAGAGCCTCGCGACCCCCTGAGTTCTCAGGCATCCCCCCTAGGGAGGCCCAGACCCCAGGTTGGGAACCAATGACTAAGAGTATAGTCAACTGGAAATTTTTTGTGGGTATGCCATCCTTAACCTGTTACTCAGGCTTGGCTGCTGGCCAAGTATCATCTTTTCATATAGAGCCAAATTCCCAGCTCCCATGACACTTTCCATGAAGGGAAGGTTTTACTGTCGTCATAATTAAATTGACACAGACCCAACAACTTAACCATGGAAAGATCTGTTGGAACTAGCTGAAACCCTGAGCAGAACAGGAATTCATGTATTGGCAATGAGCCTACTGAGGATAGAGAGAGACTGAGAGTTAATCATAGAAGAAGAAACACAGCACACATATAACATCCAAGGTAAGCTGCAAGATGAGAAAGCTCAAACTCTTGGGAAAACACAAAGTTAGAATAATGCATTGACATGAACAAATGGGTGTGAATAGACCAAGAGGGAAGGGTGGGAAAGTGAAGTTTATAGCATCAAGTCCTCCAACAGTCCGAGCCTATAGCAGCATAAGCAGGAGCTGATCCAAGGTAAGCCTGAGCTAGCCCTAACTATAAGCTACATTAAAAAGCAAGGTTTTAAGCTAAATCTTAAAAGTAGAGTGGGCCTCTGCCTCCCAGGACCAAACTGGAAAATAGTCCCACATGATAATTGAATAATGAAAAAGTTCTTCCTCCCGTATTAGTTTCCATACCTCACATAAATCTGCATCCTGTAAGTGCATTTTTCTAGTTTGGATGAAGGAACTTCGAGTTCTGCAAGATATTATGTTGCCTGACTGAGTTTAGAGTAAAATTCAGATTTTGTTAATGAGACTAAGAATTTTAGATTCTAATCCATAGTATTTACAGAGAACCAAGAGAGGGATTTCCAGGGGAAAAGGCGAAATGGTTGATCAGATTTAGCACAGTTCAAAGCTCATAAACACAGCTGTTATTAAATTAGTGCTGTCTGACCTCTGCATGTCAAATAAAGTTACCAAAGCTTGAGGTGTCAGCTCTGATGTCTCACTCTGATGTCTCACTCTGAATAATGCAGACCAAAGGAAACGTCTAAACAGTGACTCTTATAGGATAAGCAGTACTGGTTTTATGTGTTACTGAACCAAAGTCTTAGGCTATCTCTTCTTCTGTCATAGTTTTAAAAAGATAACTCATGAAACACTTCCTGTCATTGTTTTTTTTTTTTTTTACAGCTTTTTTCAGTGGAAATGAAAGCAAATCTGCTCAATAATGTGTTTGTTCTACTGTGTATAATGGTGCTATCAAACTGGTCCTCTGTTTTCTGAGGGTGTAGTACATGTTGGACATTATGTATACTAACTGTATACTTGAACTAAGTGTAATAAACTGTGTGCTTTACGTGTTGAGCCATAATAAAGATCTGAGTTATGGAGCAGCCACGTCTTCCTGTCAAATGTTTCCTTTTGTTGTGATTTGACCTAAACTATAAATAATAGTTGTTGATACATCAAAATGCATCAAATATCTTTGACATACTTTCCAGGTAAAAGTGTGAAAGGCTCTAACACTGCTTTTAAACTTGTGACTATGTGCACTAGTCAGACTGAGCTTCACTACTTATGGAAGAAATAATCGTTGTGTGGTAGTAGTGCCAGATCACCTGGGGGAGCTCCGTCTACTCGAGAGTTTGACTTCTGCTGCTAAAGGAGAGTGGACCTCTAATGGAGAGATGTCAGGGTGAGTGGGCAGCCCACAGCGAGCGCTCCTGAGCTGGGGGGAGGCTTAGGAAGTGAACTGGAACCTCTCCAGCTACCAGACCAATTTCCAGATCTGGTACACACAGGGACTTGAGTCAGGGCTAAAGTCTATACATAGATATCACTTGTATTCTGCTTTTAGGCTATTGTATTATTTTGTGTTGCCAGTCTTTGGATAGGCCTATTAGAGCGTGGCTGTCCCTGGAGATGGTTAAAGCATTTTACATATAACCATCTTCAGGGACAGTTGGGGGGTCCCAGTCTCCCCAGTCTCTGACCTTGTTTTGGGGGTCACCAGTTGAAAAGATTGGGAACACCTGGTTTAGAGGAAACATAGGCCAGAAAATTGCCAAAGAAATTCTCATTCTAAAACCTAAAACATTTGAAATGTCTTACCACCAAAGACAGCAATGATTTTTATCCCCTTCAAAAGGGCTGTGAAATGTTGCATCACAGATCTTTTGTGGCTTTTGTTAAGTAAAACAAAATCAGACTAAGATTTGGAAACACTGCTCATGGATGCATATTCATGAAATTTTACTCAGGGTTATTTTTGCTAGGTGTGTGCATTGAGCGAAAACCGGAAACAGTTCACCGTTTACAGCTGATTACAACCTCTGAATTCATTCTCAAAAGGATCGTTCACCATCACAGGGTACTGACGTCCATACTAGCATCAATACTATACCAACTACCCTGCTTGAGCCACAGAAGGCATCAGCAGATATTTGCTTTCACACTTACAGGTAGTATACAGAGTTTCTTATCCACCTATTCTTCATGTGCCTTCACTGTGAGAAGAGACCAACACGTGGGCGTGAAAAGTAACCACAGCTGTGAGACCAATCTGCCACATTAAAAACAATAGGAGTGGTGCATCTACATACCAAGCCATTCAATGTTTCCCCATCCATCCGAGCCACAGACGTATCGCATTTCAAAGCCCACTGGAAGAAGATAGATGTTTACAATAAAGGTGATTTACGACCTCTCTATAAAGATGATGAATTGCAATTGTCATAAGTGCAGTAATTTAAAGCTAAAGCAATAAAATTCCTCAAATCTTTCTGTGGTCTTTAAACTAGTGCTTGTTTGTCTGTAGGAGTACACTAGCTGTGGGTGTTGGAATGATGCCGGACATCTCAGTTTGGGGAATCTGTTTGATACAGCAAACACTGAGCTTAATCACACAAGGTCTTCAGTGAGGGGACCCCGCCCAGTTGATTTACAGGACAATTTATCTCTTGTAATTTCTGCTTTCACACAGAAAGTACATAAGCCGTTTTCACACGTGCACCCACGTTTCAGACTGTCTGCCCGCCCCTGAAATCTTCCCGAGTTGGTCGCTCCCACACTTCTCTTGCAGACTAGCCCCGTCTGACGGGAGGAAGGCCTCAGGAGGCAAGACATAATGTTAAAGGAACGACAGAGAAGTGGCAGACAAAGCAACAGAGTTAGACGCTATGATGCCGTTTATGCCTTTACAACAATGCTAAGTAGTTCAACACATTCATAATGCTTGTGAACAGGATGCACAATGAAGCGGTTTGATGACATGCACAGAGATCTCAACGAGCCAAACTGTCCATGGTGTGCGGCGATCGCAGGATAAAAATGTCATGCCAAGTCTGGCCAATCAGAGTCCACACACACACCAATCAGAGAACAGGGTGATCTCAGAAGTCAGAAATACATAGTTGCTGGTCCAATACATCAACAGGAACGCCCCCCTGAAGTCTGAATTCTGACTTGGAAACTCGGAGAACCTTCAGTAGTCCGAGTTACAGTCCAACATGGCTGCTATACGTGCATCAACAGTAGCGTTTAAGCTGTAACTGTTGTGTTTATAAGCGCCTTAGTTCTCTTTTTCTGTAATTAAATCAATCACTCAGGTAGTAAATGGTAAATGGATAAATGGACTTCAGCCTGTATAGTTCTTTTCTAGTCTTCTGACTACTGCTCCTACTCAATAAATTACTACTACTGCTACTCAAAGTACTTAACACAGCGGGTCACTCCTACCCACTCACACACTGATGGCAGAGGTAAAGTGTCCATCAGTAATAACTCATTCATTCATATACATTCTAGACAAGGCAGTGGGAGCAACTTGGCGTGAGCTCAAGTCCATTTACCATTTCCAGTGGCCAGCAGGGGGAGAGTAAATGTGTTGCAAAAAAGTCTAAATCAAAGAAACCAGATTGGTAAATGATGTCAGTTGATTTATTGGCTCAACAGCTTTCAAATCTTCATCAATGAACCATGATGTGCAAATCAGAGTAAAATCAATGGCACAGCAGCCTGTTAATCAGGATGGAGTCAAAGCAATGTGCATCCTCCCTCTTAAACAAATTGGGTCACATCTGGTTCCAATTGATGGGTGACTGCATGATGGCTCCGCCCTTCTTCCTCAAACAGTCAATGCATTGAGCCCCTGATGTCAGGTTTAAAAAAGGGGGAGCATAATGTGTCTACATTAACCACTTTACCTCTTATCTAGCCATAATGTTTCAAGCCTCTGTCCTGAAGCGAGTTGAAGAGGGAAGAAAAAAAGTCTGTCTGGAAAGCTTCGGTCAGTCTCCTCCACAGACTTTTCAAACGAGAATTCTTCAGAGATGCCGTGCCAATACCTCTCTGCAGGCTATTTATCAGACTTCACACAAATCCCTGTATAACCAAGAAAAGCTTGTTTTTTTTTCTTGGACTGTCAGCATTAGCTAGTTGATTGCAATTAATTAAGGTCTGAAATGAATGCATTCATTGTGCTATTTTGTCCCTTCAGGCTCCCCGTAGATAGTCGCCCTCAGTGTCTCTCTGTAGTCTCAGTGATGTTAAAGAAGGTCACTGCTGCATCTTTGAATGTCTCATTTCACTTTAACAAACTCTCAGACAGCTCAGCTGACGAGTCCAAAGTAACATCCACCTTATGACTAGAGATGGGACAGATCTGATCTTATATCAGCATCAGGTCTGATATTGACTTAATTTACAGATCTGATATCAGAATTACAGCACCAATCCATGTCACTGATCACGACATATGTTTAGACACTTTAAACATTCTCATCTCGAACAGTCTCACTTTGACGACATTCAGACAGATCTGCAAGAAGTGCCCACAACTCGTCTCCATGCCGACGTTCAGACAAGATGGAACAGCTCCTTCTATGTGATCAAAAGAATGACCCTTATACACTTCAGTTTAAAACATTTAATTTGAAAACCTGACAGGTGTTACTTCTTCCTGTTTTGATGTGACGCCAGCAAAAGTTCTGAGACATTTCTTTAAAATAGTTTAAATAGTTTTATGCATTTTAATGAATTAATTTTATTGCTTTGAATAGGAAATGGAATTTATTTAGTTTCTTCTTTCTAAAGTTTCTTCAAACTTTAGTCTGTGATCCCTAACCACTTCCTGTTTCTGTGCTTAAGTTAAAGTCCTAACCTGTGTCCTCTAAAACCTTCCATCTACCAGAAGGTCCTCACTTTATTTCAAAATAAAAGCAGGGTTGAATTCAAATAGCAATTTTTATATTTTAAGTTGTTCACACGTCCAACTATCTCATAACGAAATAAGTTCATAGGACGACAAACTAAAATCCCACACATTACTCTTGGTAAGTATCACCAGGTAATTAGAAAAAAATACTTTTCAATCAATCAATCAATATTTATTTGTATAGCATCAACTCATAACAAGTGTTATCTCGAGAGACTTAACAAAAAGCAGGTAAAAGACCTTACTTATTGCTATATTACAAAGATCCAACCTATCTATCATGAGCACTTTAGCAAAGCAGCAAAAGTTACAGTGGTAAGAAAAAACTGCCTGCAGAAATCTTCGGCCGGATCCCCGGCTCATCCGTTTCAGTCCCTCTGAACATTTGTCAAGTGTGTTCTCAATTTGAAAAGAAAACAGCACCGCTGCACTAAATCAAACCGTAGTCTATGCTGTAAGTATTTTAATTTTATTACCAACAGACCAAAAATCATGGCCAAAATCTATAACAGAAGCACCCAGAGCCTTTTTATTTGTCATTTTGTTGTTATTTTAGCTGTGTAACTTTTGTTCTTTAAAGGCAGGGTTCTTAATTTTCTCCAGATCCACTTTTTAAGATTTTGGTGTAAATTGTCTTCAGGTCCTGACAGAAATTAATAACTCATGTGCTCTGAAAAAAAGAACAAAGAAAATCCATCATCTGTATCAGTTGTAAGTCTGTAAAAACTTTGACCAATGTCTGCCACGAGGTACCAATCTGATGAACCAATCAGATGCCTCTCTGTCTCCCTGCTCGTTCTCTACCTCTTGTGTGCTCTAGCTCACACTCAAAGAGCGTCACTGATGACTTTAGGAGTTTATACTGTGAGTTTACTTACTGCTGAATGAGACATGAGACGACGTAGTTTCTACACAATGTAAGAGATGAGTTGAGGTCCACTTCTTGAGGAACGGCACTTGTGCATGTTAGTGAGGGGCAAGGCTTTAGAGAGAGCACAGAGGGGAGGGGGTGCTACTTTCAACATCATGCTAGTTTTTGAAAAATGACCAACTCTAACTTTCTTTAACATCTTTGTCTAAAAAACCAAAACAAAGACTGTGGTAGATGTTATCTAAGGAAACGTGTGATTCTTTGAAGGAGTTTTTAAAAACTTGCCTTTCAGCCAGGAGAAGTGGTTGAAAGAATCACATCTTTTTCATGCTCTCTTTCTGCAGATACATCTTAAGCTTTAGAGACGATGAGCAGCAGCAACATAAGTGTGGGATCTATTTTCTCAGGTCGTCAGTGACGTTATTGAAATGTGTTCACTGTTGAAGACAAACTAAACAGCAGAACTCAGCAGGGTGTAAAATATGTAAACAATTTTTTTATTGGCATGCAAGATTTAGCTTAAACAAACACTGGATTTGAACTGAGAGAGGAACATATAAAAGAAATCAGGATACATAAAGTGCAGAGTAAATCAGAGTTGTTACAAAACATCAGTCAAAAACAAAAAATCAAGAAATTAACATCACTGTTGAATCATTAGCGAAAGCCCTCAAATATCTTTACTTACACATGAAGTTACTTCAAAGTCAAATATAATAAGCTTTAAATACCTCAGAACATTCATTCATTCAAGATGTCATCGACATGATTTAAAGGTCACATATTCTCCTCCTTTTCAACCAGTTTAAATAAGTCTCAGAGCTCCTCAAAACATGTGTGTGAAGTTTCTTGTTCTGTATTTGATCATGTCTATAAACCCCCCCCCTATTTCAGCCCTGCTCAGAACAGGCTGTTTCTGTGTCTGTACCTTTAAATATGTAAATGAGCTGTGCCTGACCACGCCCCCTCTCTGGTAGGGCTTGTGTGGCTCTGTGCTTTCTCGCTCCATGTCCTATTGTTTACTGTGAGAAGGCAGACTCAGAGGGCAGAACAAACACCTAGCTGTGGGAGTGTCACCCACCTGGGGGAGGGGCTACTGCCCTTTGTGATGTCGTGAAGGGAAAATCTCAAATAGGCATTGGTACTTTGTTTTCATCCTCCTATTCAAACTATACTACGACGGAGTATTAGGGCCATGTTAAAGATTTTGTTTTCTAACATTTCAAGATTCAAGTCGTACATTTAGGACATTAAATTCATCAATTTAAATTAGCCCACAAATAAAGTTATTATTCTGAAAGGTTGTATCAGAAGAGCAGCCATCCTCCTGCGTGAAAATGATGAAAGTAGAACCCTCAAAGCCACAAAAGAAACAATGTCCTCCAAGTCCATGTGGTTCTCTTTTCAGACAAACCCCAGTTTCTTTCAGTATCTTTTCAGGTTCCTGATACTCATGACGATGCTGATGGGCATAAGTATTTCCTCATTAGTCAAACATCTACTAAAGTATAACTTCACAAGATGCTCCACGTTCCTCATTTACATACAGGCGGCTGCTCCTCTTCTCACGGAACTATAGACTAAAACAACTTTATTCTAGTAAATGTATTCTCTAAATCTCGGATTTGTTCCCCCTTAATGTGGCCCTAAGACTCCTTTGTAGTCTACAAAGCATTCCTCATATACTGCTAAAGCAGAGGAGAAAAAAAAGTGAACGATACAATAAGATACAAGAGACTCTCTCCACCCCCTCCAAAGGCAGAACTGTCACAATCACTTTCTTCAGGATATCACTAAAAAATCATGAAATCACTTGATAAGATCTTTAGACTAACACTGGAAACATTCAACGCAGTTACAGGCACCATCGACCAACACGGGTCCTTCTAATGCTCAGGTCAAAGGCAGCACAACAGTTTATGAGACTAAACAACCTAAAGTAGTCACTGAATTGTGCACAGAACAGAAAAATAAAAATCCAAAGAAAGAACATAAAAGTGAGCATGAACAACATCATGTGCTCAAACACAAGTTTCAGTATTCATAAATAATCTCCTGATTTTACATTTCTGTTACAATCTGACATCTTCACTGGAATGTAACGATCCTGACAGAGTTCAGTTTAGTTCACTTAAACTGCCGATTTCCACATAATCACACGCACTACGGCGCTCTTCACTGTCGCTCTAATCGATCCTCCTGTTTCCACAGGAGGCGTGCCAGCAGCGCCATTACGCTCTGCTCCGTTTCAAATATACTGAGAGTCCATTTTTGACAGAGTACGCTGCAATCACGCGTCAAGCTAGACAGAACAGATCGAGCCGGACAGGAAGTCAGGCAAGGAAACGCACAGAGCATCCAGTCAATTTCAAAATAAGACAGTGGGGCGCTCAGTCCCACGGAGCAAAAGCGTGGCGCTATCGGAACGCAGCGCACACAGACTATGTGGAAATTGGCAGTAAGGCATAAAAGCTACAAAGGAAGCGTGCAAGAAGACGTGAAAATAAACAAAGCACTGCTGCAAGAATACATGACTGAAAAAAAAAAAAAAAAAAAAAGCAAATAACCTGTGAAGTTCGATACATGCAGCGAATCACATGATAACCAGAGACGGTCACTTAAAGCATTAAAGGTCGTGGATGAGCTTCATTATCGCTCGTGAAAAATAAATAAAAAAGATACCCTGTGTGTCGGCTACATTATTCCAAGAGGAGTGTACATTATTATGTTCATGGTTAACTGTCGTCAAAAACTAAAAAAGTGTAATTGCTTTAAGGACGTCAATAAGTCTTCTCCGATAACATTTCAGAATATAACAGACTATTAATGGGTAAAGGGATTTCAGTAAGAATGATGGAATAATACTTAAATATCAAGCTCGTCATTCATTTGATAGAAAGTGGGGTCAGGGACAGATTGTACAGACGCAGTATTAAGGGTGCAGGGTGGTCCTCAGCGGGGGGGGGGGGGTTGCTGTCTGGTGACGGCCCTGCAGCTTCACTCAGACAAACAGCTGCTGTAAAGATGTGGAGACAAGTTAGTGACCTTTTTCACAACAGAGAGTTTGGGTTATCACATTAACACTGACTCTGTCCTGTACACGTGTTCAGCACACCTGAGTAACCCTGGACAGCTGCTGCTCGCACTGTCACAATGTGGTGCTGCTGCTAACCGGCATCATCGGTTTTTATACAAATCAAGTTTGGAGTTTGACATTTGAAATGGACACATGCGGCTTCATCAGCTTGTTGGTGGTGCTGCAGACTCACTTTGAATCACGGTTCGATTTGATCGCCCTCCTTTAAAGAGAAGTGTATTACATGAGAGCCTGAGAGAGTGGTGGGGTTGGGTTTGAAAATGGGAACTGTTGTGTCCTGGGTTCAAGTCTCAGGAGTTGGTATAAATCAAGTATGGAAATGGAGTGTGTTTTTGAAACCGCCTACTATGCTGATGTTACGTACTGATTTGGCCAAATGCAGTCTGCGGGTAAATGCGAGATCTGCAGTATGATAAAAATACCCGGATGTGTACTGGTTTGGAAAAAAATGAAGAGTATGCATCAGACAAGCCTCCCTCGTGTCATGTTTCCCACAATGCAAAGCACCAGGTCAGAGATCTAAATGACAGACAGCAACGTCCACCGGAACAGGGTATAATCCCACAAACACACATTATCTGTTTTGGATTCTAAAAACCATGAGAATGGATCACTTGTCAGCTTTTTTCAGACTGTAAGGGGACGCCACATTGCACACACTGTGGGCTGTTTTTTAAATCCTCATTCCAAGACCAGAATCCAGACATCTGAAATCCTGCAAAATAACCACCGACTGGCAGTCAGACTATGTACTACTGTTGATCACAGTATGCACTACATGCTGCGCACTCATTGTGTTCGACGGTTGTATGCAGTCGGTGGTTTTTGAAAACAGCCTGGGACTGGTTGCTGGAGAGGTACCAGTTTACCCCCCAAAGGGCGCTGAACTCCAAACTGCTGGGGGGGGTCAGTCCCTGAGCTGCTCCATCACTCTGACATCTCTCTCCTAATCCATGTCTAAAGGTCCTGTTTGTGTGTGTGTGTGTGTGTGTGTGTGTGTGTGTGTGTGTGTGTGTGTGTGTGTGTGTGTGTGTGTGTGTGTGTGTAGCGTGGCTCATGACAACAGAAACGTCTGATTTCTCTCGGGATGATTAAAGTGTTTAAAATAAAAAAAATGAAATCCAACATGACGTCATTATACTGTAGAGATACAGACACAGTTCTGCTCGTGTGCAGAAGTAAAAAAAGGGGCTTTGCTAACCTGGTCACAGTTAGGGCTCACAGAAGAGATTAATGGGTAGAAAAGGATGCAGCATGAGGACAGGTTGTTTCTGTTGTTTACGACTGGAGGAGATTTACATTTAAAACAGGAATATAAAAACTCTCCTGCAGGATGGATCAGTGCTCCGTCTGCTCCCTGGCTCTGCTTTCCTGCCTCCAATGTGCTCTTCTCTCAACGACTCCTAATAAAACGTCCTTGCTTGTCATTCATCAGTTGGACGTGTGTGTGTGTTCTGCTGTGCTCAGCAGAATTCTGAAATTAAAGGTTGAATCCCTGTTTGCATCTCGTCAGCACGCTAATGCTTTATCCATCCACAAAAATGTACGAGCTCAAAACAGCTGCCAAACAAAATATTCTATATAGGACATGTTTTATGAGTTATGTCTTCCTCTTCCTGAGACTGCTGTCTTCTTTACAGAGCTATGTGGACCCTGATCAGCCTCCATAAAAAATACTTTTCAGTATGATCGTGGTCTACCACTGTGATGTCTCCAACATGAAAAAACTCTTCCCTGTGCTATGACGTACACGTGAGGGAGAATAAGAGATTTAAGATGTCAGAGTGCACATGAAAGAGAGCCTGAGCTGTTGGGGGTTCAGTGCCTTGAACCTCTGCAGTGCTCGGACTGTGAACTGGCACCTCTCCAGCTACCTGACTAATTTCCAGATTTGGTCCACACCGGGACTTGAACCAGCTACCCCCCCAGTCCCTACAGACTGAGCTACTGCCGCCCCAAACTCTAACCCTGACACAAATGTTTATCAGAAGCAGAAAGTCTTATTTGACATATAGTCCTGATGTTTATGCTGTAAGAACTGTCTAAAGTAAAACACATTCTTTGCTTTCATTTAAAAACTGAAGACAAAGAATTTAACCATGAAACTCACCGTGGATGCTCTTATCTAGTCAGACTCCTGTCTTCAAAAATGGTGACCTCAATCTTTGAAGAAGTCAGTCAAGGTAAAGTGTCTCTGGCACCCTTGATTTGGTGGTCACCAGCTGAAAAGTTTGGGAACCCGCCTCATACTAGGAGGGATGTGTTCAGGTAACTACTCGGATCACATCATGAAACTGTAACTAATACAAGTTTCCATCTTTCTGTTGAGGACGATCTCGATCAGACTCTGCTCTCCCTTATTCAGCATTTCAAGCCAATTATAATTAATCGTGATCTTGAGTCACCCGCACCACACATACATACACACACACACACACACACACACACACACACACTCACAGTAAAGCCAAGCTGTGTGTGTACCAGACGATTTTATGCAGATGCTTTTGATTACATACTTTTAACTGCCTTTTTTCTTTTTCTTTACCGGATATCCCGACATGCCGCTGATTTCCTGGAAGCTGCCTGGACTGCTGCTTTTTATTTTCGCCCAGCGGTGAAAGGGAATTATAATGTGGGGGCAGATGGCCTGTAAATTGTTGCATCTAGTAGGTCATAGCAAAACTCCTTTTACTAGCTGTGATTAATGCACTTTGACGTTTTCAGATCTCCGGGATGACATCACTCCTTTACATCTTCACTCTGCATACCAATAACCATTTTATAAAACTATAAAAACCAATGTTGCTTTGATCCTCGTCTGTGACTTTGATTTGTTTGTAAGGCTGGCAATCTGAATGTATACCTACTCCACTATTGCTTTTAACAGGCTCAGCGGAAACATGGAGAACCAAACCAAAATGATTCAGCCACAAAGAGAGTGTGGAGGGAAGGATACGACTCGCAGGCCTCTCTCGATGGGATCTGTGAGCAGGAGGCCTCTGGGTGCGTAGATCTTGTCATTCTGCTCCTGAATGAACTTTGCGATCTTCTTCAAAACCTAAAAAAAAAAAAAAGGTACACAGAATAAAAATTACAATTATCATAGAAAACAAAACACTGGAATCAGAACCTTTTCCATGTGTTTTTAGACAAGATCACAAACACTAACTTTCTGTGGGTCAATCAATAAAAAGTTTCCTTTCCTAAATCCAACGACATCATGTAAATGATGTTGTCAGTTATTGTATTTAAAATCAACGACTTTTATCAGTAAAAGTTTTGCAATGCTGCTCTGTTAGCCCCCAAATTGGAATCTTCATTATGTGTTAGCATCAAGCTAAAGGACTTACTGTAAAGTTTGTGTACATCGGTAAGGTAGCTATACAGGATGTTGTTAAGGCCTGTATTGCACTAAAAATGTGAAAGAGAATGTCACTCATTTTACAAGGAGTTGTTTGTCTATCTGCCAAACCAAACTCCAACGTTCAGCGAGGGGCAGGATTGTAAATCGATCCCATCGCGCTCTGAAGAGGTGAGACGGACTGCACTTTAATTCAACGTGTGATGAGAATCAGAAAGCTCATCAGACATTGCAGTTCCTGTTGAGCCAACAATGGAAGACATACTGGGAGCTTCACTGAGACGCTGCAGGAGCACCAGCTGAGGCTCAAGCTCGAGGTGTCAGCGTGCAAGAATGTGGAAACACATAACAGACCCGACTGGACAACATGCAACATGTTAACCCAAATCAACAAACACAGGAGTATGTGCAGCAACAAGCTCAGTTGAACTCTGAATTTAAGATCCAAAACTAAATCCTTCTCAGCCTATATCTTCTCTGGAACCTGAGCCAGTCATCGACACCAAGGAAGCAGCAACAGGCTACAAGGAACTGAATGGGTTCCAGTAAAGTGAGCACAGCAGGCAGGAATTTAAACCTTTGCAAAGTCTTTCTCCTGGGCAAACATACAAGGCAGGATTGATCCCACCACTGCACATAAATCGGTTAAGTTCTGCGGGCCCCATTGAGAAGAGTCAGTCAAGAATGGTCTACTATCTCCAGCTCAATTAACACCCTCACCTGTGGGTGTACCTCCCCAGTAAACACCTCAGACCTAGCAAAATATCTGATGGTGTGACAGCATTGTAAAACAGTCGGGTAAAACTCTGTTTAGCCGATTGATCCGCGGAACACGTGCAGACTGAATCATAACTTGATTATGTTTTTGAGGTAGTAGCGTGTACCAAAATATGACAACAAGAACTCTGAAACATTTACTACATGAAAAAAAACCTATTGACAAAAGAGCACGACTTGGCTTGCCATGTGCTCATGCGGCACAGTAATCGTTTAATCTCGATTAACTTGTTTTCATGGTCCAGGGAATCCACAAGATCACAATCAGCTGAAATCTGTGTATTCAAACAAGTCAACATAATTATTATTCTTTTCTCTAGGTTCTTGACTAAAACAGCTTTTATACACAAGGGGAGGAGCCGGCCGTCCCGTCCATGTAAACACGGCTCTGACAACAACACAGCCAGCGGGACTCGAGCTTCTCACTCATTGTAGACAGTCATGACTCAGAGACACATTTACACAGGACAGACTGGATTTCTGCTGTATTTATGTTTAACATGTTGCACATTCATTCAAATTAGCTCTTTACAGAAACTGTAAAGAGCTAATTTTCCCTCTGGGATTAATGAAGTATTTTTGATTCTGTAAAGTCACATGACCACGTTCAAGCTTTGGGATATGATCTGATTGAGTATGTTAAAAAACAACTTCACTGACGTCCCACATGCAGTAGCATTACTTCGTAGTTTCTACATGCGAGCAGGTGAAATGTGTCTCACCTTCTCATAGTGGGTCTCCATACACAGGAAGACTGTGTATGCTGTAAGGCACGCCAGACAGCCTTCGATTAATGATTGGCTCCCCAGCTTCTCTGCTTCAGTGTACAGGTTGTTCAGGGTCCGCACGGTCTCCTCAAACTGCTGCTTGTCAATCTGAGAAATACACAGAAACATAAAGACATTTCAAAAGGTAAGCCTCCTCAGAGGGACACAGAACCACACCTTTATTACAACTATCTGAGTGATCTCTACCTCTAATCGCTTATATGAAGGGTTTCTCATCTTGTCTTAAACCATTATTGCGTCTTCATAAATGGGGAGTTTGATGAAACATCAAGAGTATCATAGGCTTATTTTCCACATATAAAACGTCATGTCCATATCCTCTGTGATGTGATTTTTTTTACAGCACAACAGTGCTGTAAACAGGTCACACACAGGGGCACTTTAGAACATAAATTATATGGTTATTTTAGCCAGAAAATGAGGCCAGAACAGTCCTGTAATGTGACGGCTGAATCTGATTTTATGCATAACATTAACGCACACTGTGAGGAGATTTATACTGGAAGATATTTGCACTGTTCATCGTGCACAACTGTCCAAATCCTTCATTGCATCTTTTGTATGGTTTCCTTTACATTTTTTTTTATTAGATATTTTTATCGTATTGTATTGAAGTTCCCTGTCAGCAGCAGCACTGTTGTTTTATAGCTTCTTACTATTTTTAAATGTTTGCTAAAACATCAAGTCAAGCTCCTTGTATGTGCGAAAACAGTAAAAACTGATTCTGAAGACAAAGAATTTTTCCAACAAAGGATTGCTGCAGAGAAGACAGGAGCGAGGAAAACTGAAGGACTCTCAGCCTGTTTTAAATGATCCTCTTTGTTAGCGAGGGGAAAAGAAAGATTCTCTAGACCAGACAAGGAAACATCCAAGGCCTCCTCCGCCTCTCTCAACCCGCAATGTTCTGCTCCTTTGTGCACAAGGAATGCAACCAAAACGCTCCAACACATCAGTGGTGAAGCAGCGCTTTGAGACTTCATTTATAGGCTGTGATTTCATCTACATCGCTTCACCTGAGCGTCTTTGTATGACATCTAAAGCAGCGATATAAGCATTGAAAAGATAAAGAGCTCAGGGCTGAACTGGGTTTACAAATCCAAGTGGTGAAGGGAGTATTCTCTTTCACTTGGTACAATGTTAACAACACCTTGATTCATTTGACAAGCTCTCTGCCAGATACATTTATTGCACTGACTACTTCCCCAGTTCCTTGGCAGTTATCCTCCAAAAGCATTTAAATGGGAGTGAGCCACAGAAAATCATACCTCCCACACAATAATTACCTGCAAGAATGTGAGTATACAGCGTTGGAACTCCTGCAAAACTCAATCTTGGCAGTCTGGCAAAATCAAATGCTTGGATAAAGATCGTGTTGGCTCAGAGAACTTGAATTATTTTATAAGACGTTCTGAAAGCCTGCTCACAAAGAGAAATGAATAAATGGGAATGAAAGCCACAAAGTAGCTCAACAGAATACATTTTTATAAGCATTCATAAGCTACAGAGACAAGAAAGCAAATGGTTTGTTCTTCATCAATATGAGTCTTCTCTCTCTGGGAAGTAGGACTGCCCTTCACTTTTATCTAGTGTTACAGTCAAGACCACACCAACCGAGACCAAGACATACCTGAGACCAGAGTGCTCCGAGACCGAGACATTTAGTAATCAATCAATCTATCTATCTTCAGGGCTTTAGGGACAGAGACAAAGTCAAGACCAAGACCAAGACAAGACCATAAATATCACTGATAAATCAGTGAGTTACAGAGGGCTTAAAGGATGCATCCCAACGCGGTGCTTGTTGTCCATGGTTATGTAAGCTCAGGATTAAGCGTACTGGATATAAAAAGTTCAATGCACTGACTGTTAAAGGCACGTTTTTATCCAACGTTACCACAACGTCTCGTGATCAAGCTTCCCCCGGTGGTGAAATCAACTACCAACCTCCATTTGATCTGCAGAGTGACTTTGCACCTTTAAGAAAAAGCTAAAGACCCAGCTCTTTATGAACAACCTACACACTAAATGATGTTATTGATGATGATGGTCTTGTTTGATAATGATGATATTTAGGATGGTTTTGATGCTGATTAGAACTCTCAAGAACAGCTGTCGATGTTGTGTTCTGCCTCTGGTCACTTCCTGTCAGCACCTGTGTGTCTGATCAGATTAAAAGATGTTTGTTTGCACTTCCTGGCGTCGTCTCCTCCTCTCTAGATCCTTGCTTGTCTTGTACTTACTCTCTGATGTACGTCACTTTGGATAAAAGCGTCTGCTAAATGAATTGTAGAACTGTAGTTAGTTAGAAGCTATTGGCCTGATTCATTAACTGTTCTCAGGAAGACATTTTTTTAATGTAGCTTTAAAGAATATTCGTTCACCTTTGTTTTTTCTTATCTGGGAGCCTCCTCAGTGTCTCCCTGTAGTCACGGTGATGGAAAAGAAAGACACTGCTGCATCTTTGAATGTCTAAGTCAGTTCCAAGACCAACCCTGACTTTAAGTACTGTTGATCTTTAAAGAGGGTAACTGTGGCTTTAAAATGACATCACATGTGGAGGTGTGACGGCTTTCAAAGATCTTTTAAAATGGCTACCATTCCAGCTAGCACATTTTATGGAAAGAAAGGTAAGCATGGTTTTTTTAATGAAAATCTTTTTGAATGTATAATTTTGATTTTTTTTTCGAGCATCTTAGGAACATTTGAGTGAGTTTTCAGAGCAGAGATTATTTATTTTAACAAGAAAAGCACACAATCTTTAATTGGACGTCCGGACGTCAAGATGAGAGTCTAGAAAAAGAGACCCAGAGGAGAAGAGGTGAAGACCCAGATGAGGTGGACCAAGATCAAGAACCTGAGGAAGAGTGCTGTTGTCCTTTATGTGCCGAGACCAACACGTCAGGATTTTGAAGATGAAGACGATGTGAATATTAATCGACAAAGAGAATAGATTCCATCATTTAGTTTTTTTATATAATGAGAGAATTAATTAAGAATACTTCAATAATATCACGATTTCCATTTTTTTTTTGTTTGTCTTTTTTAAACAGTCCGGTCCACCTTAGTCCTATGAAAGTTAAGCCTGGCTCAGAGATTTGAAATCTGGTAGCATAACACACATCTATCTATAAATCCAGGAATCTCTGTGTGTGTCTGTGTGTGTGTGTGTGTGTGTGTGTTAGTCAAGTTTCTACTCAACCATTCGTCTGAAGGACTTCAGACTTGGCGGGTGTACAGCTGTGGACCCGACGAAATGCAGTGCAGATTTTGAAGTTTAGATGAACTGAATCTCAGGGATTCTAACTTAATTTAAAAATGACCTCATGTTGATGTTTCTGTTGATCAAACATGTCAGACACAGGACAGTAAGTTTAAAAAAAGGCAATATAAATAAAAAGGAAGAAGAAAAACAGAGACAGTAAGGCCACATGAGAAACATACAAGAAACGATTTGCATGATGAGACGAAGTGCATTTAACAGAGCGATACTGTCTGCCTGAGTGCAGAGGAACAAAAAGACTCGCAGCAGGATGATCCCTGGTAATGCTGAGGGCATGTGACAGGAGCCTAGCACTATAAATCTCTTCTAGAGATGGCAGGCTGAGACCTCAGACCATCATCCGACCTGCACAGCGAACTACTTTATTTCAGGACTTTTTCTCCTGCAGTGAGGTTACCAAACCAGACTGTCAGCGAGCTGCTGAGGATACTTTCAATAACACTCCTGTAAAAGGTATGGAGGATGTGTCCGTTTAACCTAAATTATTTTAATTTCCTGAAGAAGAAGCAACGCTGTTTGGACTTCTTGACGATATTACTGGTGTTTAGGTGCCAGCTGAGGTCATCTGAAATAGTGACACCAAGAAATGTAAAACTCATCACCATCTAAACTGCCTCTCCATTTATGATGATGGGAGGATGGGATACCCTTTCCCGTCTGAAATCAAAGACTAACTCCTTGGTTTTGGAGGCGTTCAGGATTAGATTGTTTAGATCACTCAGTCTGAATAAGTTTTGTACCTGTGATCTGCAGTGTGATTCATCATTTGAGTTAAGGAGTCCAATGAGACATTTGGAGCCTCCCTCTTCATCTTTCCACCGTTGTGCTGATGTCACCTCGCGTTAATTAACGATGTGCTAACTAAACAGTGAGGTTGCTTCCAGTCAGAGACTTTGTTAGTGAACCAAAGTGAAGCCATAAGCTACAGATGAAATGAACCATTTAGCAACATTTAGATAAATGTCATGAGACAGTATGAGACCCACCAGTGCTCTGTCTCTCCATCATGACACAAAGCCTACAGGTGAATTTACATCAGAGGGCTTGGAATCGGCATGGCAGGAGTGACAACCTGATACGGAGAGTCAGTGATGTGGGCATCTTCCCAATGAGAACTCTGAGTGGACTACACAGCAGCAGTAAAAACACGGTCTGCAGCTTCATTCATTAAAGCGCTCCATCAGTGAGAAAGTGGACTGCATCTCCACAAACTTACGTTTTTTGCCACCAGTATGTGTTTCTGTGTGACTCCAGGGGCCTGCACTCATGCCCTTTTATGGGCATTAGTGGGCGGTAACCTATAATAATTGGGAACAACAGGCACACGCTTTCAACTTACGAACACAACAAAATAAGAACACAGCTGAGAACAATTCAGTCATTTAAGAAAGCGTTGATGAATCTGACGGAGAGACTTCTTAGAAATCTTCTTAAGAACAACTGAAGAAAATTTGTACTAAAATTGGTGAATGAGACCCAATAGACTGAACCATCGCTGGGTACAAGTGGGTAAAGACCGTTGTCTAAATGTGATTGAAGTCACAAAAAGGTAAAGGTGTCTCTCACCCGGGTCTCCAGCTCTGAGGGGAACTTGGTTTGGAATTGGCACATGGTGCCGTGGGTATAATCTCTCTGAAGGAAAACTTTAGCAGCTACTGCCGGCTGTTGCCTCAAGTCCTGCAAGCTGTGAGTCTGTGAAGAAACATGACACACACACACACACACACACACACACACACACACACACACACACACACACACACACACACACACACACACACACACACACACACACACACACACACACACACACACACACACACACACACACACACACACACACACACACACACACACACACACACACACACACACACACACACACACACACACACACTCACATGGCGCTCTGAGGTTCATCACACATCCTTACTCATCAGTTGTTTACATGTGTCAGATAGACTCCTTCGACCGTATGTAGACCCAAACATTTACATGCTGTGCAAATTTGTTTTTACCCATTTATGGAACTTTTGGCTATTTTATGACTTGCTGTGAGTCTTACAGTGAATGTTTGTATGTTTTTATGTTATTGAGCCTCAACAAAGGTCATTTCCTGTCACTATGTGATTAACAATACGTTTTTTTTCTTGAAACTTGAAACACTGGCGTATCTACGAGTCCATCTTAGGTCTAGTACCTTGACACCTTCTGACCTCCATCAGTCAGAAGAGTACAGGGACTTGTAATCTATGATCTCAGGACCTTGTCTTGCTGTCTGGTCCAAAGGCCTGAACTGAACTGGGGGAAAAGGTGTTTAAGTTTGCAGCTGCCTTTACTTTGAAAAAGTCACAAAAAGAGCTGAAACTGAGCGAGCTGCTCTCATTGGACGATGTTAAGAGGATGTGAAATGACTCCATGATGTGTTTAGTGGGCGATCTTAGTTTCAATTAGTAATGTGTCTTTTAATGTGTAATTATAAGGGGGGGGGGTGTATTTGTATGTTTGGCTGCTCCTTGTTTGTGTAATACTCTATACATTGTGCTGCTGCATCTCTTGGCCAGGACTCTCTTGAAAATCTGTATGTTTTACTTTCCTGGTTAAATGAAACCGTGACTAAAGAAACCATGTTCATGTTGTCAGCATGTTTGGTTATTGTGATGTGTCTCAGCCTCTTTCTTCCCTTTCTTGTGACTAACCGTGTGTGAATTATAAATATATAAAACAAATACAACAACACTGCATTACAACGTAAGCTCCTCAGTGAAATAAATAAACTATGTGACGCTGCCATCCGCCTTGTGACATTTAATAAATATAAAGATATTTAGCGTTACACAGATCTACGGAAACTCCTTCCGGTTTCCTATTCAAACATTTCACACATGCGAGGTGTGAAAATATGAGTCTATTGTTCACACAAGTCTGTAAAAACGAGGTTTAAGGGCATATTTTTGCTTACCTCTGCCATGTTGAACTTTGTTTATCTTTTGCTAGCTGCGGTACCACGAAATAATCCTTCCGGGGGGAAACACTGTGTGACCACAAGCGTGCCGGTTGTGCAGAGCTGTTCAGAATAAAAAGGCTTCAACACTATCGGGCACTTTGGTTTTCAAGATCCAAGTTTTAATTTAATGTCGCTTTCATAACAGACTCTCATAATACATGGGAGCGAAGTGCGCTTCTCCTCAAATCAGACAGACTTTAAAAAACGTGTATGTCTATGGTATACACCCGGATATATAAAGCTACGGAGCCCCTGAAGTCCAAAAAAAGTCAAATTAATAACTTGTGCGCAAAAGGTATTTAATAACTTGTGGGAACATAATTTTGTGTGCACAAAATATGTATTTGTATTTTTTGGACTTGGGGGTTCTGTATAAAACCAAATAATAATAATAAAATATAAGAAAGTGCTTGGGCATAAAGTGTGAGCACTCTGCTTTATACCTCTAGCTTACCACATTTGAATGAATAAAGACACCTGTCATCACCTGAAGGACACAAGATTTGACTTTAAGTAATATGTAGGCTGTTTATTGTAAAAGAGTGACCAATGATAAGTGTAAACATGGAGTGTGTCCGTCAGAACAGCTAGTTGTGTGACTGTTTATGTGGATAATGAGGTGTGAGATGTTGTGAAGCAAAAACAGAACAAACGTGCAAATGATGTTTGGGTTGTGTCCAGGTGGAATGAGAGAGAGAGAGAGAGAGAGAGAGAGAGAGAGAGAGAGAGAGAGAGAGAGAGAGAGCAAAACTGGGGTTCATCTTTTATGCCCTGAGAGAATCTGACCAAACAGATTATCTGGACTATTATAGGCATGTACTTTTGTATATTTATATACTTTGCCTTCAGTTTCAATCGGGATTCATCCGATCACATTTTTATTTACGTTACATTCAGATATAATGGGACTTTGATATCAACTTGTCGCTTTAATGGATCACACAGAGATGTCTGTGTAGGTTCTCAGTCATCCAGGCATTGGTTAATGCTTGATCCAAAAACAACTGGACTAGTGGAAGAGCTTGAAGACGTTTCACCTCGCCTCCAAAAGGCTTCTTCTTCTTCATTTCTAAACTATCAGGTGGAAATGTAAGCCTCAGTATGTGATCATCTCCTGAAGGCCTTTAAGACACTTCAAGGCTTTCCAGGGTGACTGATGTTGAATGCATTGAAATGAAATTCACACAAATAATTAATAAAAGGTAAGAACAATAATGCACATTTTAACACAGAACATGTGACATAATTATTTTAAAATAGTTTAAAAATGGTCAAAAGTATTGTTGTTTAAAAGACTAAAACAATTTAAATGTCTCTCTCAAGTTCATCGGTGTCCATTTGATTCGATTAAAAATGAATTCAGAGGAAAACATTCTACTGAATGTGCACTCAGTGTTGGTTTCTGTTTCCACAACAGAATTAATGCTGCATTCATGTGCTGCTCGGATGATCCAAGTTTCCGAGTTGGGAAGTCATTCTTCTGACTTCAGGTGATATCAGTTGGGAAAGTCAGATTGTTGTAAAAACAGCAAAAAAACAGCGTTGATGCTGTTGATATGTTATATTTGAGCAAATAGTTGATGTGCAATAATAAAAAGTATGTTAACATTAACAGAACATATTCTGCCCCTCATGTGATGCCGATTCTGACGTCAAGTTGGGCAACTAATTCTTTTCCGAGTTTCTGAGTTGTTTTTCCGACTTGAGCAGGTGTTCATGTGAAATTTACAACTCGGAAACTAGTTTTTCCGATGTGTCCGACATCACATGAATGCACCATAAGTCCTGATAATACTCAAGAGAGGCAGATGTTCCTGGCCTTACAGGCCTTTACCTCAATGCTTTCAAAATAAATAACAATTTAACTTTTCCTTCAAAGGTTCAGTCTGTAGCTTTTTCCGAGAACATCAAATATAGACTTAAGGCAAACATTTTCCATGAATCCGTTTATGTTCCTCTGGTAATTTTAAATTTTATGATGATTTCATCTGAAGAGCACGATGAACCATAATTACTCACATCTCGACTCGAGCACTGAGTGTTTATTGAATCAGGGACTGACTTAATAAAACTCCTCACTTCAAAGACAGGAGTGAATCATCGTGGGGATTTTCTCACCACAATTTGAAGACGGTGTCAAAAGATACAATTTCTCCTTGAGGCTGTATATGCAATACTTGAATTAAACTGAGTAAACACTTAATAACTGTGTTCACAGTGTTCTCGTATTTGATTTGGTTTTATGCTTTAAACCACTATCCACCAATGTTGTGACACCTGAAGATACTTTTACAAGATGATACAGAAACGAAGAGACGAAGACGATATGTATGAACGACTCATGATTTAATGTGGAAATAAAATATTTGATCACAAAAAGATCATATCAAGGTCAAGGTCAACTTTTAAAGGTTTTAATTTTGGGGCTTTTTGAGAGAGAGGGGAATCACATGCGGGGAACAAGCCACAGGTTGGATTTGAACCTGGGCCGCCCGCTATGAGGACTATAGCCTCCGGACATGGGGCGCGCGCACTAACCACTGTTCCACCAGCGGCCCAAAGATAAAGGTAAACTTGCCTGAGGGGCAATTTGCTTTACATCCTGCAGAGAAAAGAAAAAACTGAATTTCACCCAACTAACACTCACATCAAGGGGGGTTTACATGATGCTGTTGAGGAGACTAATGGTACCAGGAACCAATGAATCTTTTAATCTGAACATCCTGCACCTACAGTAAAGGCAAAGGATATCTGCGACCAGATGGCAGCAGCTAGGACTCTGTGTAAACCGGGTGAGTGCAGTCACCAAGGATACCCTGTCTCTGTTTAAGAGGGCAAGTTCATCCAAACTAGTGCCAGCAATTTAATATTATCATATCCTGATGAAATGTTATCATAAATCAATAGTCTGTCTCATAAGTAGATTATTGCTGCCGGAGTATCTGTGTCGTATCTGAACCACTTCTCTTGCCCGCTTCCATCGCTGCAACACCTGTTGGTTTGACCTGATAACTGCTCTCATATCTGGCAAACCGAGGGGTGTCCAAAACGGCCGTGTGGGGGGTCTCCTTTAAACCGCCTACCTTCTCTGGTCCAAACAAATCCAGAGCATTCAGGAGCAGAATCTAAAGTTAGAAGGAGGACATACTGGCTGCTGCATTGTTGTCAGAGAAGCCAGCACTTCAACACAGCATGTTTCCTTTTCCTGATCAGATAGTAAGATACCTTTATCATTTCATTCAGTAGATATCTTACAGGTTGTAAGATTTAAAAAAAAAAAGGATTTTGAGCTTGAATATAATTTTCCAAATATGCTAGGGTATTGGACCTTGAAAGAAGACAGAAGAAGATACACAGGCCCTAAGAATATTCAGCCAGTAAAAGTCATTTGTTATACCACAGGGGATTGGTTGCATGAGATTTTCAGGACGTCTTATTGCTGTTTGTACCCTTAGCAACTGCAACCACATGCACTCATTGTCAACCCTCTACAAAAAACAAAAAATTAGACTGATCAAAGCAAACCATAGTTCTCTCCTAATACTGCTGTTATTACGATCTTCATTAGAAACATGAAATCTGAATGAGTAACATGTGCATACCAAGCTGTCTGGAAGACTGATTGTGTTTATCTTTAAGAAAAACATGTGACAGCAGCCAAGTTTATATTTTATTCCCTGTCTTTGGGATTCTTTTTGCCTTGCCTTGGAACTTTGTTTTCTGCAGGGAGTGAGTAAGTTCATGTGGTAGTGGGGTGTTGGTAGGCTGATCTGTAGGGGGGAGATGTGTTGGAGTGGCTTGTGTGAACAGTGCCAGAGCTTATTGGCACAGGTGATATCTGCTCTCCTTTTTCGCTCTCTGCAGTAGCATGCTGGAGGTGGGCTGACTCTCTCACACACACACACACACGCACACACACACACACACACACACACACACACACACACACACACACACACACACACACACACAGCCTGAGCAGTCGGATCTCTGGACCTCACTGGGGAAGCATTCTGTGTTGGATTTATTGAAAAAGTGAACTGAATGATCTCTAACAAAAACACTGTGCAAGTTAAATGAAGAGTTGTTGATGATGTTCCATTGTGTGTGTTAGAAGAATTAAAGAAGAAAGAAGATTTCCTTTATTAATCCTTCGAAGGGAAGTTACTTTTACACTTATTGAACATGCTTCACACACATAGGCTAAAACACACACATGCATGCACAAACAGGATCTTATGGACGTGCAGTAATGGAGAGATGTCAGAGTGAGCAGCTGCACATAAAAAGAGCACTCGAGCAGTTGAGGGTTTGATGCCTTGCTCACCTTGGCAGTGCTCCTCAGGAAGTGACCTGGCACCTCTACAGCTACCAGACCAAGGGTGCATCTGAATTGTCTCTCCTATCTCCTTTCACTATCCTCTTTACCTTAACCCCGCGAAAAACGTCATGAGGTCAAGGAAAGATGTTAGGAGAAATCATAAAGGACTTAAGGAAAGGCGATCTCGTTGCTCTGACAATCCGACCACATTTTCCACTAGGCGACATCATTAAATGCGACGGGCCGGCGGAGGTTAATGACGTGGGTCTGCCGTGTTGAAACTACAATGTTCCGAAAATGGACTACAAAAAACGCATCTAAAAAACTTTCCCCTGTGTCTTCTTACCGGTGAAATAATCCTAATTACCACAAGGTTGGGATTGAAATAAAAGAAATATAGACCACCAGGCTACAAGAAACAAAAGTGAAACCATCACCTCACTGTCCACTCAGAAATCAACATCAACATAAATATGATTGTATGAAATTAATTGTTACATTTATGTAAGATATAACCTACATATAATGTTTTAAACATACAAATGTACAAAGTATTCTTAAGTGAATGAAATATGTTGAATAAAACATGATCTGATAAAAATGTCTCTTATCTTTTTATCTTTTCACGATCATCGTTCATTTCCGTGAACGGTCGGCTGCGCGACTCACTTTAACTGTTGCGGCCGCAAGGAATTGTGGGGCGGCATATCTCATCTCCTTTCGTAAAGGATGGTCCAGTTTATCCTATGCTAAAGGAGGTTATAAAGGAAGCATTGACCCACCTTTCCTTAACTTTTAGAGAATTCGAACGGCTCTTATCATGGCCGCCACTTAACTGCTTCCAGGGTTAAGATAAAGTGGA